TAGTGAATTCTTTTGCACCAAGATGTCAAAAGGCACCATAAACTCAGAAGAACTGATAGCAGAGATCTTAGTACAGTGGTACCTCGGCTCACAAACGCCTTGGTTCATGAACAAATCGGGTCACGAACAAAAATTTCATTAAAATTTTGACGTGGGTCGCAAACTTCGCATTGGGTGGCGACCAAGATCGCAGCCATCTCCCCCACCCCACCCCAAGGGGGAGATGGCAGCCATCGCAGTTGCTTTCGTGCAGGGAAGGTGTGCGTGAACAGAGGCATGCTGCTGCAGGAAAGATGGGCGCAGCACAGCACAGCCACAGGGGAGATGGCCGAGATTGCGCCCGTCTTTCCTGCAGCAGCATGCCTCTGTTCACGCACGCCTTCCCTGCACGAAAGCAACTGCGATCGATCGTGGCTATCTCTCCACTTTGGGGGGGGGAGGGGGAGATGGCCACGATCACAGTTGCTTTCGTGCAGGGAAGGTGTGTGTGATCACAGGTACACTCCTGCAGGAAAAATGGGCGCAATCTTGGCCATTCCACCTCCCCCCGCACAACCAGCACGATCATGGCCATTTCCCCACCCCACCCCTGAGTGGGGAGATGACTGTGATCAGGGTGGGGGGGGGGGAAGATGGCTGAGATCGCATCCATCTGTCCCTCCCCCAGTGAACCCGCAATCACAACATCTCCCCCCCCAGCATGCCGGGATGACGGGTGCGTGCAGAGACGATAGGTGCGATCTCAGTTGTGCTGGGGGGGGGGGGCGGGGAGATGGCCGCCCTTGTGTTGGGGGGGGAGATGGCTGTGATCTTTGTTTTTGTCACTTTGTTTCACATTTTTCTGATTTAAAACATGGTTATAGCACAGATTAACCTATTTACATTGAACCTTATGCTAAAATTTAACTTGGCTCACGACCAATTTGGGTCACGACCAGAGTCCTGGAATGGATTAAGTTCATGAGCCAAGGTACCACTGTATACCCAAGAAAGATTGGCTACTTAAAACATAACCGAGAAAGATTTACCATGCATGCAATCATATATACGTCTAGTCAGAAGCAAGTCCCACAATGTTCAATGGGCCAAGAAAAATGTATAGAATTGCAGCCTAAGGCAGTAGGAGATAGATAGGATTGTTCCTTTTTCCTAGTCAAAGAATGAGCTTTTAGAACAGCACATTTCAAAAGTGCCATGTCACAAGAACATACCTGCTCACACTGAAAATCAGAGCTCCCTGTTACAGTATAGACTTTGCATGTAGGCAGTCCCAGGTTCAACTGGCTTCTCCAGGTAAGTGTTATAGAAAAATTCTGTCTGAACCCCAGAGAGCTTCTGCCATGTAGCATCAACTGGACGAGACCAAGTCCAAGATAGGACTCTATCTTTGGTGATGTCCTGCAGTATAATGAAGTGGCAGTTTCCCAATACAGGAAACACTCATCCTGTCCCTTCCTCCATTAAAGTTTTCTGCAGCTCAAAAAATCCTACATCAGAGTCAGAAGCAGTGTTCATGCTTCTAGTTGTCCAACAGTGAACATTCTCGATTTCATGTAGAGCAAAGCTGATTGAGGAAAGATGACATTTATAGATGTAGCCGCAACTGTGTGGAACCAGTCTTCTTAGTGTGAATTCTTGAATGGGGTGGATTGTTATGCACAGACATTAATACCAAAATAAATCAGGCTATAAGCTGCTTGGTCTTTTTAGAGGCACAAAAAGGAATAGTGGCTGCCTAAAAATCTTGTGCATACACTGCCACCTTTGCATATTTCATAATTCAGGATTCAACTTTTGAAACATGTGGACAATTGCAAGAAAAGGTTGATGATATGTCCAAACCTGTCCCTATATATAGCAATGGATGCATAAGATCAGCTAGCCATGGGCATGCATCCTTCAAATGCACAATTTTGAAGGGCATTTCTTTCTATTAAAAGAATGCCATCCCAAGATTGAACCAGGACTCAGCCTCTTGCACTCAGACATATACTGCTTCTCTACAAAGTTGTACCATTAACTTAAAACACTGTAACATTCTCAATGAATTCTATCTGCAACATAATTACTGGCTTATTTAATGACCTGTGTCACCATTTTTCCAATTAAAAACTGATCAACATCTTACTGTAATTAATGTTATATTAATGATGCAGGATGTGATATTACTTCCCCTTGCCTGAACTCAATTTTCTGTCAATCCATTTTGTTAGATTATGCAAAGTTCAAATAGTACGACAGAAAACAGATATTTTACACTCCTCAAGGTCTACTATTTGATGCAATTAATGCACAACTAATGGGTGTGCAGGTCAGAAATGCAAAAGCACCCCTGTCCCCTCATCCCAAAAGGTGGCAAGGTAGCTTGTGCTCTGAAGAGAGCTGGTACTGCACCAGAATGACTCAAATTTCAGTCTCTTTGTCACGACCTGACTTTGTCCCACAGGCACAGAGCTTCTCATGCTGCATTTGGGCCCTAGAGATGGCAAACAATGGAGGAAGCATGCAATTGCAATCCTCTTCACATTTGGGTTGCCAACTTACTTCCTCTTAGGACCCTTGCTGCCATGCATTAAAAAGCAGTTTGATATAACTAGGGACCAGGTTTATTTCCATGCCCTGAAACATGTATCCTCTTCACTAGCAGCTACGAAAATCCCTTGCTAGCAGGCTGAAAGAAAATCAAGCTAGGCTTTGGCTCTGCTTTTTTTACCCTTCAGGACAGCCTGACAAATTAAAAATAAATTAACTAATTAGAGAGCATAGGAAAAGAAGAGGCTAGGAAGGGTTTTCTTCACCCACCCTCTTCTTTTTACGGTCATCTGTCAACTCCCGCGTATTGCACGCTTGTCCAACTGAACCCTAAAGGAGTTTCCTCACCAGAAAACACAAACAAGAGGCGAAGGAATATGCAGGAGATGGCAAACAGGGCGACGAAAGAGGTGGTGCCGGGGAGGCGCCGGGTATCCCCTGCGCCGGTGTCAAGGCGGACAGAGAGAGAAGCATTTGCACACACGCACGCCCGTTCCCTAGCGCGAGGCATGGACTGGACTCTCTTTTCCAGCTCCTACCCCAGCCCCGCGAGGAAGGCCGCTTGGGAAGAGGAGCGGGAGGAGCGGCGGCGGCGGCGGCGGCGGCGGCGGCTGCCTCCCGCGCTCAGCCTCGCGCGCTCCTCACTCCTGCCCTCACCCACCAGTGCCAGTTATTGACGTTGGTAGCGTCCGCGCGCTGCTCCACAATCCAGCGAGGGTCTCCTTCTCCCCACTTGGCCATCGGCGCCTCCGATGCACTCGCCGCAACCGCGTCTGCCCCGACGATGCCGAGCGAACGTCTCCTCGCGCCTAGAAGCTACTAGAAGCGCCGGCAGCCGCGCCGCCTCTCGGCTTCCGTCACCGGCAAAGCGGGCTTCCTTCCTTCCGTTCCTCCCCCCTCCCCCCGGAAACATAATAGAGAGACCAACGGCGCAGAGAGACCTTAGAGTGACAGGGCGCCTGCGCTCGAGGCTGGTAAAATGATAAGACACCATAGAAAGAATGAGTGCAGAGACATAGACGTGATCTATATACTTACATAGTTTGCCCAACTCTCGAATCCGATAGACTGTTCTTTTCTCCGTAGAAAATAATAGAGCAATTTAGAATTTTCGGGAAATTGTCATTAATCAACTTTTGTTCATTCAGAAAAAAAAGCGGAGTAAAGACTTAAAGGGTTTTTTATTATTTTGGCGAATAATGTGATGTATTGATTAATCGTTCAAGATTTTAAATCGCAACATATCTGTATGCATTTTATGCAAGAGTTTGATGCAAATGAGTTCTGAATTTGGTCTGAGAGGGGACTATTTCAGGCACAAAAATACTGGCACGGCGTGTAATGAGAACCCGGAAGTCCCCTGTCAGAAAAATAATTATGCTAAAAAATAGGCACAGATTCTATATTTACTTCTACCGCAGAGTGGCGTCATGACCTTCTATAAGGAGGAAACTGCTTGGATTGGAAGTTAAAAGAGACAACCACTTCAGTTACAGCAGATGTGCCAATAAAGTGCGTGCGAAGTTAAAAATAATCCTCTGTGAACACCACAAGCTAGCCATTCTGTCACGGACAACTTTCTAGAAAAGGAATACAGACACACCGTCTCTGTTGTTGTTGATCCCTCCGCTCTAAAATTGAATTTTACGTCCACCTTAATAGCCAGTTAAGATTTTTATGCTAGAGATACCAAGCATTAGAATGACATAAACGGAGAATATTACAGCTAAAATACTGAAAGGAGCAGTCTTGAAAGGTGGCTTCTAAATAAATAAGCTTGAAATAAGGGTGGCCTTGCCTTATTTTTGCCGAAGCCTGTACGCATAAATTTAGGATTCGGTCCTATGCAGAAGAAAGTCCTACAATTTCAGAATTCCCCAGCCATAAATACTTAATGCTGTATGTCTTTTCTTTGTCCAAATGTGTATAGGTTTGCACAATAATAATTGCTGTACAGATTTTTTATCTTTATCTATGGTCCCAGCCGCTTTAATTCTGCGCCTAATATCCTATCGGGACTCCGTCATTTTAATCACTTATCACGCGTAATCCTATGCATATTAGGACAAAAGGGGTACTACAACTCCCGGCAACCTTCCAAAAATTATTCTTGTTAGAGCATGCTGGGAATTATAGGACTCTCCCCCCCCCCATACTGAGTATTGAACATTTAACTACATTTCCCAGCAATTCTCATAGCTTTTCAAACTAGCTCCGCATAACTGAAGCATTCTGACTCCTTTGAGGACCCCTAATATGAAATATGAATATGTATGGCTGAGTGAGGGAAAAAAAACCCCTTACTTTCTTAAGAGCCTGTTGGAAGTTGTAGTTCAATTCCGCCTTGGAGTCGTGGGTATGCCGGGATTTGTAGTTTCTCGGGCAGCAGTGCCCCTCGTTATTGCAACGTCCGCCGGGCGGCTTGAAAACTACTTTTCCCTTGATGCTTTTCGAAGACAACCGTCTTTCTCTCGCTGGTCGTGGTGGGAGTTTGAGAAGCGAAACGATCGAGCCGCGCCTCTCGGTCTGGAGAAGCGCTAGTCCGATGAAGAGCATAAGAGCTGGGCGCCTGCGTGATGAAGTAACTGAGCCAGTTGGCCGCTCCCTAGTTCTGGCGGTCCTGCTTTTGTCAAGGTATGTTTCCTCTCTGGGACAGGGGAGAGGAGTGAGGTCACCAACTCTCCTTCATGTTTTCGTTGATGGAGGTTTCACGCAGAGACACATTTGAGCGTGGGGACGCGTGACGGCAGCAACTGTACGAACCGGAGCACTGGTTTCACGAGGAGACCGCTTCCCACTCTTCTAGTCTGGGGGGATTTAACACAATCAGTTCCGGTGAGCCTGTATGCCTGTGGTTGTTGCTGATTCGAAGTCACCGGCGATGTAAGCAAAATTGATAGGCCTTCCCCGCTCCCCACCCAGGAGAGGGCGATGCAGGACAGACAATGCGGCGACCAGCAGAGGGGAAGAAGAACAATGAAAAGGAGGGAAGAGTTCGGTAAATGCGATCGCACATTCGTTACCGATGAGAATGTGGATTCTCTAATGCGAGAAATTGCTGATCTAAATATCGGGAATATCACCTGATTTGAACTTTGTTTTGGTAATGGGTGCAGAACATTAGCCTGTCTCCAGAACCTTTTGCAGTGATGTGTTCTTCCGTTTGCTGTATTGGTCAAATTGGTCAGGAGAATGGTTAAGTGGCATGTGTATATGAGTGCAAACAGTAAACATTAGAGCAAACAATTACAAGGGTGTCGGGGTACCCTGATGTTAACATGCTAGCTTCTAGTTGTCCTTGCTGTATGATGCTATGTGCTATAATTTAGTTTCAGAGGTGCTAAAATATAGCAACAAGCAATTAGTGTATCATCTCTGATGCTCTCTTTGATGTTAGTTCTTTCAACATTTGTAAGTGTTGGTAAGCCTACAAGACTTTGTGTACTGGAAATATCAGCAAAAGATAGGCCAGCAGTCCTCAGGACACTTACTGTGCAATATGTCAACATCTTTGATAAAAATGTTTAGAATTAAGTTTACCGGCACAACATATCTTCCATTTTTCCTGTTTTCTGTCTGTTTGCGAAGCTCCTTCTCAATTCATCGCAGATTTTTTTTTTTTTTTGGTAGTAATGAACTGTTTGGAAGAATAACTAGAGGTGAGATTTGTAGCATCTAAAAAGACTCTATATATGTTGCGGCATACACTTCCCTGTGCTACGGCATATTTGATCAAATGCATGAAGTTTTATCCTCAGTGGATATACAATGCCTATCCATATAGGGATATCGGCGGGGAGATGTGAGCCATGGGGCCAAATGGCCATGAAATAAATACAAGATGCAAAGTCTGTGAAGTTTCTTAACAACTCAGTGTAGAGAGGTTCATCATAGTAGCAGTTAGGTTAAATACACTTATCCTAGCTCTGCTCTATTATTTTAAAACCTGCAGTGGAAGGAAAAGGTAGCGTCTTGGTTCAGAAGCAAATTTATGGATGAAGGAATTTCTCATTGGAATCTTCAGTTCCCTTATTGAAGGATGATAGCAGCAAAATATCTTGGGAAGTTGAAATATTCTCTCATTTGTTTCTGATGTCATTTTTAAAGTTATATTTCTATCAACATTATTTGTTTGTTTAATTTGCATAAGCTCTGGAGAATCTTTGGTGAATGAGCCAATGTGGCCTTCTAGGCTGGCTTATCTAGCCTTCAAGGCCCCAACTGAAGCAGAGTCATTCAAGGGATAGCGGGGAGATGAATCTCTGTTGGATAACCCCAGCCACCAAATTTCAATTCCCCTCTCTTGACATAAAGACTGACTTGATTGTGATGCATGGACACTATTGGCAGGTTTTAACATGTATCATGTTGTGGGATGATCCAGTGAATGGGGCCTCTGATCGTATTGCTAATGTTGTTAAATCCTGTAATAATGTTGTCCCAATGGATATGACTATCCAGGATGTGTTGTAGAATGGATGAAACATTACCTGGGATCTGGGAGATCAGGTGTGCATTTTTGTCACTTTCTTGAACCTATTCTGTGGTAGATTATTCCCAAGTAATAGTCCAACATTGTCATGTGTTTTTACATGTCAGATTTTATTGTTTGGGAAATGAGTCCTTCAGGTATGAGTGCCAGTCTGAGGAACTACATGGAACAAAGGTGGATATATCATGAGACTTAGTTATAAGACATAGACCACAATTTATGCAGAGTGGAAACTAAATGTATGTATACTTGCTCAGTGCTCATTGAGGTGCTCAGAGATGGTTTCTGAACTGACCAAAGAAAATATGCTTGCAATAAGAAAATATCTTCTTTTTAGATGAACAGAATGAAGATTGATGAGGAAGAATATTGGCATAGTTCTAAATGTAAAGCCTTTACTTTTGATGATGAAGATGATGAGCTCTCTCAGGTACATTTCCTTGTCTGAGCCAGCTGATGAAGGACTGTACAATATTCCTTTGTCTGAAATATTCAGGAAAGGAGATATCTGCACATGGCACAGTCCTTTTGAATGTATGGCAATTAAAACTTGAATTGGGAAATTGTTGTAGTATTATTCCTAGAGCTTAAACACACTGGGTTAAATGTATGTTCTTCACATGGTATCTATTATAGAATTGGAATCCTTAATCTTTTCATTCTTTCATTGTTACCAGAACATGTTTCTAGCCCTTTTGGTTGTAAAGAGATAGTTGGAAGTAGGTTTACTTTGTGGGAGTCAGAACTTCTGTGCTGTGCAAAAGTACTTGTCCCTTTTAGATTCTACTAATCTAAAGATCTCTTTTGCCTTCTTTAATGCCATTTATTTAACTGCTCTTTGCCAGTTGATTTTATTACATATAACAATAGGGCTTCTTCTCCAATTTGTCACAACAGCAACAAAAGAGTCTTAGAAAGAAAAGAGTTGAACAAGGCACTCAGATCTGTCCATCATGTCTGCAATCTATGATAACAGTTTTTAGGTTCTTTGCACTGAACTGCAAATAAGTCTATTTGATTACTGCATAAGACTCTATATCTACAAAGACATTTCTCTAAGCAAAGGTATAAGAAATCTTTTCCTGGGACTGGCATACAGTACATACTGTGGAGCTCCACATATGGGAACACTTCAGTACTTCCCATCCAGACAAGCAAGAGACACAGTCTGAAACTGTATTTCCATAAATTGTGTTCCTTAGCTTCAAGTAAGTCAAGAGATAACTAGAGAAAGTTTGCTCAGCCTTGTAAACATTGTCCCACCTGCTAAATCCTTTTTGTTGGGTGATTCCAACAATTTTATTAATACCCTGCAAATATGGCCTATCTTTACCAAACAGGATTTCAAAGATTATGAACAAAGAAGATCATGGAACAGGATTGCAGGGTATATTTTATTTCAAATGTGCCATGAATTTGGTCAGTAGCTTTCTTCTCTAATTTGCATCTAGCTGCTGGGATTTCTCTGCCTTTTACTTTTGTATAGTTTTCTTCTGTACCTCTGGCTAACAAAAGATGTGTCTTTGAAGTATTTCAGTTTGCACATGAGTTCAGAATGCATCTGTTCCTGGAGTGCATGACACTTAGATAAGAAACAGAATGTACACTCTGAACAGAACGGAGCTTGCCTTTATTCTAACTTCAGTTTTGTTCATAGCTGAAGGAGTCTAAACGAACAGTGAACAGCCTCCGGGATATCGTGGATGATGATGATGAACTGGAGAAGTTCAGCTGGAGTGGGGAGCCTGTGGGCAGTAAGTGAAGGGGTTATTTAGACAAGCAAAAATGTAACAAATTGTATAGATACTTTAATTGGTACAGAATAGAACAGCTAGGCTGCTAACTAGGACTGGCAGGCAAGATCTTTATCATTTTCACGGCTTACTGATTGAAGTCCTGACATGATTTAAGATGTTAAGTTGTATAAAGCCCTAAACGGTTTAGGACCAGTTCAGGATATCTGAAGGAATGTCAGCTTCCATATACACCTGCTAGCACCTTCAAAACATCTGTTGGAGGCCTTCTCCAGGAGCCCTTGTTGAAAGAGGCTACAAGAGTGCCTACTAGGGGAAGGGACGTGTGCTTGGGACTGACTCTTTATCCTTTTTTGGGCCAGGCCAAAACCTTTGCATTGGCCCAGGATTTTAATGATTAGAATAATTTTATTACCTGTTCATATATTGTTGGTTGTTATTTTATTCAAGTGCTGTTGTGGATTTTGCTGGCTTTCCTACTGTCATTTTACTCCTTATGTAAGCTGTCTAGAGATCCTGTTTGTATATAGGATGGGATGTAAATGTTTTAAATAAAGAAATATGTTTATCCAAAGTGTTTCCAATGATATTGCACAACCAACAACATGTCTCCCTGCTCTAGAATGTATCAGATTTTACACTTGCAAAGATATTGTACCCAGATAGCTTTTTCTCTCTCCATAGGCATTTCCTGGTCAATTAAAGAAACCGCCTCTATCAGCAGCAGTTCCTTTGAGGGAAGAGACTTGGGTCAGCCAAAGAGCACTTCTTCCTATGCAGCATTTCCAAAGCAAGCCTCATCTTACTCACTAAGCAGCTTTTTTAAAGGTACAGGGATCTCAGTTTACTAAAAGGATTCACTCTTCTCCATAGCTTCCTACCACCTTTGTGTCTGACAAAAGCTCAGAGGTGAGCAGACATTATGCTTGTGGGATCTACTTTTGTTTTACTGGAACTCCAAATCCCATCTACCAACAAAGGGCAAAATGGTGGTTTGGGGATGGAGCTAATGACCTATTGCATTCCATAAACTGGGGTAGGCAATTGGTAAACCTCCAGATGATTTAGCATAAAGCTTCCATTATCCTTCACCATTGGCTAGGGTTGGTGGGAGTTTTAGACCAAAACAGCCGGAGAGCCACAAGTTACCCACCCTGCTGTAAACCATACATTGGTGTAGCCTGCATATAGGATTACAAATCTGCATCAGAGTTACTATGTTATCAAGGATTTGAATACAACATTTTAACTAAAACTGACTGGCAAAAATGCACAAAGACCTGGGCAAAAACAATTAATATTCACGTTCCATAGGGAAAGAAGGAATACTGAGACTGATAAGCTATTAGCGCAAGACCAGCCTTTGCAGACAAATCTCTTATTTGCTTAACAATTTGGCTCATCAAACCTTTGCTGATTTACTGAAACAGCATTTCCTGGTCTATATACTACTTACATCAGCTAATATGTGTAGAGACTTCTGTTTGTCTAGAGAACCTTCTGAGCTTGAGCACCTTTCAGAATCTTTGCATGACTCCTGTTTATTTTGCCTGGTTGGATGATATGTTTTTAATAATTTTTGTTGTGAATGGAATCTGTATGTATGTCCATGCATGCATCTGTGCACACATGCACTACCTTGATTTTAAACTATAATGACTCTTTTTAGGCACTAAGAGTACAATAGAGTAAACTTAGTTCAAATTTGTTTTCACCACTAATTTTACAACCTGATGGTAGTGTCACATAGAATGATCATGCACCTGTAAACAAATTGCAACACTCTGTTGTCACCAAGACAATAAAGTTAACATTCAGCCTTTGAAGGCAGTGTATAGTTTGCAAAACTTCTTGTAGACATTTGAGGAGAAAACTCTCCAAGTTTGTTCTAGTTGCTTCCTAGTCCTGTTGCAACATCACCTGCAGCTTGTTGAAAGAGAGGAAGTACCTGCAGGAACTCAAATTCCACATTTCCTAGGTTGGTAAACTGCCCTCCGGGATTAAATGGTGGGCATGGCAAATTGTAAGTACTATCTATGCAGTGATCTGGAAAAGTTTCAGATGCATTCCTTCAGTGCATCTGATCCTCACAAGCCGCACACAGCAACTCTGTACAAGCTACTCTGTTGCCTACATGTGGCAAGTGGATGGTATGGTGTGTGTGTGTTTGTTTGTTTGTTTAATTTTTATACCACCCAATAACTGAAGCTTTCTGGGCAGTTTACAACCATTCCTAAAACAGAATTCAGTAAAACCACAAAAATTCCTAAATAGAAAAAACATTTGAAACAGCTAAAGGAACATAAGTTATAGAGTAGACATGTAAAACACCTGAGACAAGTGTTCCTTTCAAGCCATTAAATATATCCTTGGATACCTTTAAATGCCTTGGCATGGAGGGCCATCTCAATCTGGCACCAAAAGGATGACAAGGAAAACTCAGGATCTTCAGTAGGAAGATGATTCCACAGTTTGGGGACTACTAGGAAAAGGCCTTCCACATTGTTGCTACTTACAGGCCTCCCTTGGAGCTTGCATTTGGAGGAAGGCCCTGGATGTTCACTATAATGCCTATATAGATTGGGTTTAGGAGAGGCACTCCATCAAGTATTGTGGTCCCAAGCTGTGTAAGGATTTATAGGTTAAAACCAGCACCCTGGATTGGGTCTGGAAGCATATTGGCAGCCAAAGCAAGCAGGCCAGACCATCTGTGCTCAGCTGGTAGGCTAGCTATTGCATTTTGCATAAACTTCAGCTTCTGGAAAGTCTTCAAGGGCAGCCCTATTTAAGAGTGCATTGCAGCAACCTGATTGAAAGAACTACAGGTCACCTGAAGCTGGAAACACCCGGGGCATACAATCCCTCCCCCTTTGTTCCTTCATAGCTTTTTTCTAGATACTGCTGAAGTGCAAGAACTTTCTTGACAGAGGTACTCCCCAAAAGCTGAGATCTTGAGTTCATTTTATTTTGGAGGTTCATTTAAATGGGAGACTGTTGACAAGAGAGCAGGTACAGCATAGGTACTGACAGGGTTTTTTTTTTTTTTTTTGAAACCCTTTTAAAGGTAAAAGGGAGTTGATTCTCTTAAAAAGGGCAAGAGTTTCACATGGGCTAATGACTTACATCTGCCTGCCCCAACCTGGACCTTTAGAAATTTTGGATTTCAGCTCCCATCAGCCCTACTAGCATAGTCAATCATCAGGAATTCTCAGAGTTGGAGACCAAAACATCTAGACAGCACTATGCTGGGGAAGACTGCCTGGCATCATCAAATGGATATTCAGATAATCTGAATGCTGCTTGGGCTTTTTGGCTTTTAGGGGCTTCCAGGAGAAAAAAACATCTTTCTCTCAACTTCTCTTACTTGCTCTTTTCTTTCAGGAAGAAACAAACATGGGAGTTTTCAGTCACTTTCAGATGGTAAGAACATCACTTTAAGGGTGGGACTGTTTCTTGTAAAGGATTGTGGAAATGGATACCAACCTCACCTTGGTAGTCTGCAGTCTGTTACATGTCTACTCAGCAATAAGCCAATTGGGTATATATTTGAGCATCCTTTCAGGCAGCAAAATGTCTTAGGTCAGCATTCTTTATTTACTCCTTGAAACTGGCAGTGCTAGAATCCTTTTGGTCTCCAGAAAGGAGGTGGTACATTGTACATGTTTGCTTGTTTGTTCTGCCAGGTCACTGCTGCTTCTGTGCTGCTTCTTCAAGAGGATGATCTAATGTATGGTTCTGACTGGTGATTAGTGTTCTTTTACTGCAATTTTTTAATTCTGGTGCTAGTTCCACTGATTATGAGCTATCTGGTGGATCAAAATATCCCCAGAAAGTAAGATAGAAACATCTCTAATAAATAGATATGTTGTCTTTTTTCTTCAGCTCTTACAGACACTGGATTTAAAAACTATGCCCCAGAACTACGCAGACCAAAAGCAGAATATAAGGTAGATATATTTTGGGAAACTCAGATTAAGGTTAAAGTTATGGGATGAAGGAATTTGGAGTTGGACAATCAAAGTCTGTTCTGACTGTGGATGTTCATTGGAAAATCCAACACATCTTCTCCAAAGACTATTTGCTGGATGTGTATTGCAAAATATACTGAAGTGGCTGCATTCATTAATCATTGGCAATGAGAGCAAGGCTGCAATCCTTTACTCACTATAGTGGGACTTACTTCCAACTAAGCATGTGTAGGATCAGGCCGTTAGTTTCAAGAATACACCAAGAGGCTGACAGTAGCATCCTGTACATGTTTACTGTAAATAAGTACTGCTCTTTTCAAAGAGACTGTTTCTGCACATAAGTGGATGGAAGAGAAAGGAGGAGAAATGTGCTCCTGAATGGTCACTTTTTCTGTAAACACTGTATCGCTTTTGACCAAATGGATGCATTCACATACAGTAGTAAGCCAGAATTCTGGAAATTTGGTACTGCCCAGAGCAGCCAGGAGATTTGCACACCAGATTTGGCCCATGGCCTTGTGTAATTTCCCTCTAGCTTTTAAGGCCTATGCAAGTATGTGCTGTGCACCTCCTGTAAGTTTGTGGCTGTTCATTTGCTAAGCATCCTTCATCCAGGTAAACATATGTCTCCTTCCCTTTCTCAGGCTGTGGCTGCTATGTTCCTTGGCAGGGCAGTCTTGTGTGTATCCCCATATATTACTAGTTGCACTGACCCAGAAGTCATCCAGTGTGGCACAAGCCATATCTGTTCTCCTTTTCACTGGGCTCCCAGTTACCTCAGCCATCATTTGAAGGGGATGGGGCATGTGCCATGGACTAGACCTTTTAAAACCCTTCAAGTGTTAACAGCATCTCTTCACTTTTTTTAAACATTCCAGGACTACAGTAATGAATGGAGCCCAAAAGATACAGTGAGACGGCTGCGAAGAGGAAAGGTAGGAATCTTCTGAAACAGTTAACATTTGTATATGTGGGTGTACCACTTACTGCCCCCGTACAGCCATAGTGGTGATACAGTTGCTGATTGCTTTCTCTGCTTCAAAGGAGGTTGTGATTTCCTTGCCTTGAAACTGGGAGTGAGGTCCTAGACATGTCATGTGTTGTGGGTAATTATAACAGATACCAGATTCTGATCCACAACTGCAACTTGCCTCGAGTGATGGGGTAATACATTGTTATACTGTTAGGGTTAGAGCCAGGAGCTTGATAATGGGTCCATAGTTCTAGTTTCAGGCTCTTGATACTCTCCATGGGTAGATGAAGAGGAGAATGAATTATTTTTGGATGAACATAGAGGTGATACACAATCTGATCTCAGCTGCTTTAAAACAGGTTTGAGCAGATGGGAAATATCCTTGCTGGTAATACACATGCATACACTTCATTTGCTCTCAGGAGGCTTTTTAAAATGTGATCCTTGCTAGATGCAGGGTGTTACTCCACTTTAGAGGGAAGGTCAACTCTATGAACATATACCAACCATTAGCACATCAGTTATTACTTAGTTGATCAGCTACATAAAAAAATAGAACCATACCAGCAGTTGCTCTGGATATTAAGCTCTGCTTTGCTATTGGAATGTTGCAGTTGGGTCAGAATGACTTGGAGACTTTTCCTGAAAGCTCCTGGAAAGAGGATTCAGAATGCAGAATTCACAATGAGCAAACTCATGAGCATGGCATCACATGGCACAATATCTCAGTGGCTCCTGTTCTTTAATTGTGACAAAGCTAGCGTCAGGAGCTGCATTCCCTCCTCCTTCCTTTTGAGCAACAGACAGTTCATTGGCAAAAAACTCTTTAGTTCTGACATATAGCCAGCAAACTAATAGTCAACAAAGGAAGAGTCTCTGGGCTTGCACAGAGTAGTTTGTTGAACGCAAACTAGAAACTTTCCAAGAAGCCTCCTTTTAACTAACCCTGGGTTCCACCCTTCTAGGATGCCCCTCTGAAGAAGGGCCAGCCTCCTAGATCTGTGCAAGCCCTTCTGCTGGCTAACCTTTCTCTCCCAGTGCCTCATCATGGGGTCAGAGATCAGACCAGGCTTCTCTTGTTCCCCTACCATGCCCCCTCCCAGAACATCCAAACCCTGCGAGTTCCCAAGGTCTGCCTGAATGCCTAGGGAAGGAGAGAGAAACTCTCCTTCCACTACCATCTCTGTGTCCATAGACCTTGTTTTAGTGCTACCCTGGCCCTGGAAAATGTACCACGAATAACTGCCTCTTTTATTCCCAACAACTGTATTAGGGCAGTTCTGCACATACTCACACACAGCTCTGCTCTTCTTCCAAGCAGACCAAGACCAGAGGCTTCCCACTATATGGTATATCAAAGCTGGCCAGGAGGCATACAATGTATGCTACTCAATTGGTCTGTTCATTTGATCTGCTAATAGATGACAGGGCAGGTCATATAACATCCATCCCCTTCTGGCTCTGCCTGTTTAGCACTATCTCCTCACCCATCCCAAGATGGTCCGGTTCTTACCAACTTCTTGGCTTATCTCTGAACCTGCTGGCCTTGGCATTTCAGCCCAGAATTCTGAGCCCACCTCTTCTTCAAGTTGTGATTCATTCCTGAGGTAACCTTGAAATGCGGCATTTGGGAAGTAGAAGAACAGAGCCTGCTATCACCCTGATAACAAAGGCTTAGCACTTGAATTGCATTGAGAGGGAGGTGCTTTTATAGATGGCTAACCATCTGTGAATGCGTTCTGTGGGTACATGAATCAAGCAGACCTCTTTTTAAGCATTCTACCTGAAATCTCTAAGTCTACCTGGAATCTCCAGTACGGTCCCATGAGCATTGGTCTTTGTGTTTGCCAAGCCCCCCATCTTGCCTGATTTTTATTTTAGGTCCTAAAATTTGAAAAATATTTTAAATCAGGATGCCAGCCAGCTGCAAAGCACTGTCTTCCAGCACCATTCTTATTTGAGTTTATGGCTTTGTGTTTTGGCACTTAAACATTCTGCCCTGTACTTAGCTAGGCTCTTGGGCAAGTTACCTTTTCTTTAGTCTCATCAGCTGCCTTCTGGGAAATGAGTATTTTTTGACTCATTGTTTGACTCAGTTAAAACATGGCATCCATTTGGTGAGAGTGCTCACAACACTTTAACATTCCAAATGTGCCCACTGCTGCCATAAAATTGGGTAACCTGGTACACTGAATCCTTTCATGAATGTTATTCCATTCTAGGTCTGCTCACTGGAGAGGTTTCGCTCTTTGCAGGACAAATTATTGCTGCTGGATGAAGCTGTTGCAGCGCATGATGGGAATGTTATTACAGCTGTGAGTCCTGTTGCGATCATAGTTAAGGGCAGAGAGGGTGGCTGCAACTCCATCTGCTGTCATTAACCTCTGATTCTGTGACCAGTTGTACTGGAATGTGGCTCCCTTAATATTCCATTTTCCATGGGTTTTGTGGTCTATGGAATGGAAGGCTTCTGGAAGGAGGATTTGACTTTTTGATGCCAGTCTCACTGAGCCCTGCAAGTGTCAGAGCGCATTTTAATTCACAGAAATTTGGAATATACCTGTTAATGATAAGCTGACATGTGGGATTAAGGTGAAAAAAGAGTTGCTATATAAGAATGACTTTATTGATATATAGGGTTTGTTTATTGAACATGTATTAATAAAAGGGAAGGGTATTAAACCTTTGATTCAATGCAGTTTTGGATGGAAGGGGGTATTCCTGAAAGAGCAGAAATTTAGAAGAAGTAAGGAAGAAGAAAGAAATGAAGGAATAAATATTATACAGCCATGATTCCAGTGGAGGGTTGCACTAGTGTTATATGTGTATTTTTATATGGCATATTTTATATTGGTTTTGGTATTTTGTATAGTTTAAATATATAATAAAATTATTATTTAAATGGACAGGTGGTGGCACTGGATACTTTGGTTCTGCATTAACTATGGCATTCACTGCAGAGACCAGTGATCTTTGTCCTTTGAATGGGATGTGCAAAGATCAAACCAGGGAGCCAGGGCCCTATTCACTGTGGAATGTGTGAAGGGCCCCCATACCACTTGGAAGAGCTTCTTTTCTGCCTTGACCGTTACACAATAGGCAGAATTAGGCATTCACTTCAAGTATTATGCCATTTGGGCTCTAACCAAGGTCTAGCCTGTTTTGATGACTGTAGCTCCCCAGTGAACAGAACGGCCTCTACAGCTGGAGAGGGGACTCGGGTATGATTGAGTCTATGGCCCTCCACATCTCACTGCTTCATAGTGAGATTAGGGCCATGGCTGTGTCACCATCTCTTTCCACGGGGAAACCCCGAAGAGTTTTCCGAAATTGATTGGATTTCATCAGTCTTGTGGGGTGAACAATCTGAATGGGACCTCCACCCATGCGGGAAAAACATAATATTATGAATTCAAACCTGACATGCCAATGGGATTACTTGGATTCCACCCTCCCAGTATTCAGACCACTCATCTTGTGATTTGGTCCGAAGACCAAATCAAAGGTATGCCCTGCTTCATGTGTTGGGTGATGATGAACTGAGAAAGCCCTATGGATATATGGAAGCCATGAAATCCAGAACTAGAGCTCCAAAAACAGCCTCAACATGGAAATTTAAATCACTCAGAACCACTGCCAAGAGCTCCTCAAACACTTCACTTGAAAACATCTCTGCTAGCTTGGTCAAGGAAGATGCTGGGAAGCAGGCTGGATGATACACCAGCTGCATCCCCAATCCCTTTGTTGCTCAACAGTAGGGGCGACCACTCAAGGCTTGCTCCAGGGCAGAGTGGTTTCCTGTTGACAACAAGATGGTTCTTTCTATTCTTCTTTTATTCTGCTGTGTCTGTCATCTTTTCCAGCCTCTCTAATGCATTTTTTCTTCTATCTGGTTGCTTTTTCACCTCTAAGGGTACAATCCTGTACAAGTTTAGACAGAAAATAATCCTGCAACTCCCAACAAGCTACAGCCAGTGTGACTGGAAGTTGTAGGCCTTTTCTCTGTCTAAACATGCATAGGATTGTGTTCTTAGTCACTCAATGTGCCATGCTGCTGAGTTCTTAGGAGGCTGTTTTGAAGTCACTGTTCCCCCCTGGTATTTCTAAAGGTATTCTGGAAGGGCGGGAGATGAAGAACATCTGCAAAACTTTGGGGTAGTTGGAATCTACTGATACCTCTTGTGTTTGGATAATGTGGCTTTGGACTACCACGACACAAGCATGGGGATGATCTAACCCTTCCTCAACTTCCCTGCACTCTCCCAAAGTCTGGCTTGGATCGTGTAGCATTTCCAAAGAACTCTCCATCTTTCTCATGAGCCCAGCCACCTCCTTTTTGTTAAGTTGCAAATTGTCTTCCCAGACTATTGCCTGTTCAAGAGCGTATGTACTCCCATGCTCTATTTCTCCAAACAGAACTAGCCCACTACTAAATAGGACAGCAGAATGATTGGTATAAAATACAAGTGATGCTGGAGTGGTTTCCAGATGCTTCTGGAATCCTTGTGCTCCCTTAATATTTTTTTCTGATGTTGTCACAAGAACTTGTCAAAGAATGCGCAGCTCAGCTGAAGATCTTGTTTGTTTTATTGCAGATTCTAATATTTCTGAAGAGGACCTTGAAAAAAGGTATGCACAGCTTAGAAATTACAAAATCCACAAGCATCTGTACAACATTCTATTTCTTTTCTTATTCCTCTCTTCTTCACATAGGTCAAGCTAAGGCAGAACCTCTGTAACTTCCATGGGGTCAGAATAGACAGCTTGACAACCTTTCAAGCCTATTAAACGGTTCACTTTTCCTTCTGAGTAGCAACGTTTTGCTAATCCTGCTTTTAGTGGGAGCAATGAAATATCTCCTGTCCCTATGGGCTGGATGGTGGAGCTTTGCTTGGGGTGGAAAGGAAAACCACTTTGGTGTAGCAAATGGCAATAGCTGCTTTTGTTTAACCATGGGATTTGGAATAGATATGAAAGTGAAGCTGTCACCCGTCACTAACACAATTGAATTCAGTAGGGACAATGGCCAAGTCTTGTGCTTAGGAAGAAGAAAGCAAATGCGTAGTTGCAAGATGGGAGACAGGTTCAACAATACCTTGAAGTTGTTGTGGATCACAAGCTGAATATGAGCAACAATGTGATGTGGCTGGAGGAGCACAAATTGCCTAGTATCTGCTCTGTGCAGGAATTATTCATGCCTGACCTGGCCAGTGAAGCATGTCATGTCAGGCCTTGTGTTTTGTTTTTTCACCCAGAGATCCTTTTCAGAGAGCTGGAGCTGCGGCAAGTGGCTTTGTGCCATTTGATCCATTTTCTTAAGGAGACTGGGGACCAAAAGCTCCTTCTGGACCTGTTGAAGTAAGAGCTCACAGATAATATCTTCCATATCAAATGCTGAACCAGAAGTGCTGAGTGGGTCTAATGCTTGTTCTTCCTTTGCAGGTTCCTGGACAGGACAGAGGAGGTTGCAGTGAGTATCACGTGTGCCTCACTGTTCTCTTGGGAGTGACAAGGGGATTCTGAGAATCTGCATGCAACCCACTCGATATTTTCCCTCTGCTCAGTGAACTAAATTACTAAATTGAGCTAGCCTGGACTGACATAATATTTTGTTTCTATCCACGATAAGCCCATTCTTGATGTCTGTTTCTTCCCTCTCCAGCTAACACAGTACCGTCAACACCTGACTATCCAGGATGCTGAGAAACGAAAAGAGTTCCTCAAAGGTTGCATTGGGTAAGTGTAGGAATGCAGGTCTATATTTCTCTCAACAGCAGGAGTAAGTAACATGTGACCCTCCCGATATTTCAACCTACAACTCCCACTGTCTTTCACCATTGGCTGTGGTGGGTAGAGCTGACGGAGTTGGAGGCTGAAACATTTGGGATGCCATCGTATGGCCACTAAATGCTATCTTAACAGCTGTGAGAGACTTCCGATTCTCAGCTCCATCCTTGGTAACTCACTCCAAGATTGGACCTAGGATTCTCAAATGGGGTGTGATTATTCTCCCTGGAATCTGGCCCTCTTCTATCTATTGAATTTTGTCTTGTGGTCACCTCTCACTTAGGAAGCCAGCCATCTGTGAGGAAGTCTGCAAAGGCTCATAGAAGTCTACCTGCACAACTAGTACCCTTCTTGTGCAACACACACAGCACAGACAAAGGCTGCAAGTCACGTGCATGGAAGAGGGACACTGCTTGCACAGCGCCCATGCAGGTTCAGCTACTGGTGGGCACCCATGCAAAGCCTCAGCGTGCTTGCCAGGAAACTGAACTCACGGCGACAAGAAAGCGTGCCAGAGTCCAGGAGACCGAGACCAGGGCACCAGATGGATTCCCACCCCCAAAATGGATCCCTTGCACATCCCTGCTCCGAGCTGGAGCACCCTCCCTCCAGCCTCACAATTGGTGTTGGAAAACGATGACAGCGGAGGCTTCGAGGTCAGGGGTGGGCTTGGAGGAGTGGAGGCAGCTCCACCGGCATACCTGCCATCCTGGCGGTGCCTCGGCCTTCCTTCCTTGTGCTCCAGAAATTGGCGAAGTCCTTTGCAGGCCAGGAGAAGTGCGGGGGTGACCTTTCCCTCTGTGCTGCTTCTACCTGCCATAGGTCGCCTCTAATCCTCCAAGTTTGGATAGTTACTGGCAGCCATACTGGATTGCAGCCTTGGAGTCCCACAAGTTGTCCACTGCAATCTATAGTGTGAATTGAGCTCAGCCTTTTATGGGAGGCAGAAGAGATTCCCTCACATAAATTGGGAAAGGGAGGACAACAAAGAAGGGGCTTTCACTTTAGCAGGGGAAGAACACTTGAGGGGGATAAAAATATGCATGGTATGAAGAAAGTAGAGGGAGAGTTTTCCTCTTGTTCTCATAAGGCTAGAACCCATGGTCATCTTGTGAAGGACAGATAAAAAGAAGTACGTAACACAGAGCATTCCTGAACTATGGAAGTCATTACCACAATAATGCATGGGAATTGGTGTGGGCATCTTTGCCAAATGAAACATAGAAACAGTGAGTCAGAAGGGTCCTCCCAGGCCATCTAGTCTGACCCCCCAGCTCCAGCTGGGTCATGAAGTGCTGCTTTCAATAAATGTAGGCTATTCTGTTTCTGAGGCATGAGACCCTTCCACAAAATATAGAAAAATGGGAAGTGACCTGCACAGGGAATTTTATTTTAGGTTTTATTTAGAATATGAATTTCTCACCTTTCAGTTATATATATTAAAATAGCAAGTCTACTTATAAAAAGTCATAAAACAAATAAAAAAGAAAGCAGCATAGGAAAGAGTCAAAAAAAGTCATAAAACAAAACAAATAAAAGAGGAAAGCAGTAATAAAAATTGAAGGAGCTATCGAACAACCTCTTTGCTATATATTCTAGTGCTGAAAACCTGATGCCAAGTGAACCTCTTTGTGGGTGGGGAGAAGTGGCAATGGTTTTAGTTTTAGACCATTCAGGTGGCAAAAGGGATGTATTATTCCTAGAAGTAAAGATGAATGTGGGAAGTGGCTCCTTCACCTTTACTAACTGAGGGAACTAGAAAGGGATCACAGAGGGTGAGACACACGTAGTAGGAAATCTCTCCATTGGGCACACTTCTGTGTAAATCTGCCTAGAGAGGAATCTAAGAGTGAAGAAAGACTGTTCTCCAATCTAGGTTATCCTTTTCATCGGAGGATGCTGCTCATGTTCAAGATCATTATACACTTCTAGAGAGGCAGATCATAATTGAGGTAAGAGGTCTTTGGCTACTGGTGACTTAAGAGTTCTCCTAATCCTCTGGACTCATTGTAATACCTAAGCTGGATTGGCTTGAGCAAATAAACCTTGTATTGTCCCTTCTTAACTGTTCCCCGATAGTTTCCAGTGGTTTTGAACTCCAGCTCCCATCTGCCCCAGCCAGCATGGCCAATGGTTTGGAATTCTGACCTCTGGTCTGGCTTCTGTGGCAGATAGAAGCTGTAGTTCAGAACATCTGGATGGCATCAGGTGTGGGAGGCTTTCTGCCATTCAAATCCACCACGATAGATTTGGAGCGACTGCTTATCCTTCAAGTCCTGCTGATGCTTTGCAGCCCTGCATCCAGTTAGAAGACTGTTTGTGTACAGCAGCTTATGGATCTTCTAACGAAATATGGCAGGGCTACAACCTGAAGTTGCTGTTGATATGCCAAGGGAGACTCATTTGGTTCCACCACTGATTATCTTCAGCTGATAGGCAGCCTTTTTCCTGATGAACTGACTGGTTATGACCAATGCATGTTTGCTCAAATTGTTTTAACTTGTGTTATCTTACCTGCCTTGTTTAATGTTTTGGATAGTTTATATTTACTCAGTGTTTTGTTGGTTTTGGTTGCCTAGAGCACATTTGGTAGAAAGGCAGGATACAATTTAAGTAGCAAATATTATTACATTTGTATCCTACCTTTTCTTCCAGTACCTCAAGGTGGAATACAGAGGGTTGTTAATTATTTTCACCCTTCACAAAAACCCAGTGAGGTAGTTTTGGCTGAGAGATAATGACTGCATCAAGGCCCTTCAAGCTGAAACCCTCTCCACACTTACCTCAAAGAAAGCCACAGTGAACTTCTAAGAAAACCAACCTTCCTTCCTCCCCATTATATTTCTGTACCACCCAACAGCCAAACACACATAGGTTTGAGGGCTTGGTCTGCTTCATGAGTTGACTTGGAATTTAATCATGCTTTTCCTTGATGCATTAATACATAATTTTACAAATTAATCCATCTTCGTTTTAATTCAGCAAGTTCTTTGCTCTGGTTTCCCTCTTCCCCAACAGGCAAATGACAAGCATTTAGAGTCAGCTGGACAGACTGAGTTATTTCGGAAATACCCTCGCAAGGCCTCCATCCTCAACATGCCACTGGTCACCACACTCTTCTACTCCTGCTTCTACCATTACACGGAGTCTGAGGTGAGGGTAACAGCAGGAAGGGGGGCCCTTGGAATTAGTCACTCATACCTGCTCCAGTGTCAAACAAAGGGAGGAGAAAGGGTTGGGGTGAACACTGAAGTAGCTGGTGATCTCCAGACAGGTAACTTGTTCCTCAAATACTGTAGGATTACTGAAAAAAGGTAACACTGGGCCCATTTGCCTTTTTGATTGATGTGTTCTATTCAACCCACTTGCACAGTACTATTATTATTATTGCATTACATTTTACATTACATAATGGAAAATTTTTATTACATAGAATTGAAAAGAGAAGGAGAATTATTTAAACCACCTTGAGTTTCTTGGAAGGAAAAAGGGCAGGATATAAATAAATTTATATCTCACCTTCTTCCTCCTGCTTACAACATCTTCCTCCTCTCCGTTTTGTCTTCACAGCAACAACCTTGTGAAATAGGTTAGGCTGAGAGTCAGTGACTGACCCAGAGTCACCTAATGACCTTTCTGGCTGAGCCCAACAATCTTATCACCATGCTATCCTGACTCTCAACTGCCTAGGTATTAAAAATTGGATTTTTTAAAAAATAATGTATTAGGAACTAAAATTACAGGCTTCAGCCAACCATATCCGGTTGTGAGGGTCATTTTAAAAATGTTGTATAACTCATGCAATATTTCATTATCTAGTTGTTGTGGTTTGTCAGATATGCTTAATTGTATAATTTTGATGTGAGTTATATGTGTGTGTATTATGTTAAACATAACTATATAAGCTTGTAAACCAAGAGAAGTTGAGGCAATTTTTGAATACTTGGCAAATCTGTGAGGAAACAATATTTTGAGAGCATAGAATGCACATGTGGAACGTGACCATGAGGACCAAAGCAGAGCTTAAGGTGGTCAGAGAAATGTCCATTTCTTGTTATAACCATTATCAGTTGAGGTGTGATCTTGTTTGGCCCACTGTCTTTTTCTCTTCCTTTCACCCTGCCTCTTCTTCACACTAAGCTTGTCCTGTTTCTCCTTTCTAGGGCACATTCAGCAGTCCAGCAAACTTGAAGAAAACTTTTAAGGTAATGAACCTGATCTTACATTTCAGCATGGCTCCTAGTCTCTCCAGCTGACCCTTTTAGGCTGGCTGAATGGGTTGATGTCAGACATTTATGTGCACGTGGTAATTCAAAGGTGGGCTGGCTTCAGTTTTGCTAACTCTCATTACTATTTTTTAGTACTACAAGCTATAACCCAGTAATATTTTAAATTTAAAGCAGGGGTGTATTTCAGATATATATTTATGCAGCAACCACAAACTTGAGAGTGACACCCATGCCACAAATCTGATGGCACATTGACCAAAAAAATGGTGGCTTGTTGCCAAATTACAGCAGCAGAGCATTATGGAGACCCAAAGGGGCCACACTGTTTTCAAGCTATACTTCTGGGTATGCACAGTGGTTTGCTACCAGAATTTGTCAGTCAAATGCAGATTTTTTTGCTGCTCTGACACCTGATTTTAGTGGTGCAGTAGCAAGAGTTCAGCCCCTGGGAAATCGGATGGGTGGACAGCCCAAAGTTGCCCATCCCTGCTATATACTTAAAAGCTCTTGAGGCACTGATAATCTGGGTTAAGAGATCCAGACTATGTGCACATGCTTAAGAAAACAAGGAAAGCCTTGCGGGAACACACCAAGGTCAGATTTCTTTACCACAATGAAATTTCCTTACAAGAATCCTAGCAACCAGCAGGGTCATTGGCATCAGGTCATTTTCTGTTCATAGATCACAAATATTCCTCTTCCAGTCCCTTTTCCAGCATTTCTATTTCTCTGCCTTGCAGATTTCAGACAAACAGTATGCGCTGACAGCTTTGGCTGCTCGTGCCAAGCTCCGAGCTTGGCATGATGTGGATGCTCTGTTTACCACCAAGGTGAGTCAAGGTGGCTTGCTCAGAGCTTGGACAAAACCTTGGGCCTTCATCAGCTCAACAGCATTCATGAATCCTATTTGGCCTAAAGCTTATCTGTGCTGGTGTTCAGCTTCCTTCACAATTTACCTGCCCTTATGCAACACATTGGAGGTTAACTTCTTTGTAGGAAGGAAGAAGTCTGTTTCATTCTTTCCCTTTGAGGACCCAGCACACTCTGAATACAGACATGGGGATCTGCTGGGAAGTTACCCAGACAAGCTCTTTCAAGGAAGGGCAGCATCTTCAGCCAAAGGAAGGCCATTTCTGTCTTTTGGCACCATAGGTAGAAGACATCCTTTGCTTTATTTGTATGTTTTTTACAGCACAGTTTCCCCTCTCTTTCTTCTCTGGGATGACCCTATCACAAGGTCTGATGGTAATTTGTTTTGGTCCTGTTCTTTCAGAACTGGCTAGGCTACACCAAAAAGAAAGCCCCCATTGGTTTCCATCGGGTGGTGGAGATTTTGCAGCGGAACAATGCCCCAGTGCAGGTGAGTAAGCAAGCTGCGCTGTTATAAATGCTAGCAGACCGTCTGCTGAATTGTTCTACTAGACAGCAATTATTTAACTTCATAGTGTTAGTGTCTTCACCCCTCCCAAGAACTGTGTGGCTGAACTGTTTATTGTACACCCATGAGGAGAGGAAGTGCACTAACCATGCCCCCCTCCAATACCCTGTGCGTGTAGAGGGTAACTTCCTGGAGGGGAGAGCCTCCTCTGTCCGTGTGGGATGTCCATGTGACTTGGAAGTGGACAGAGCCCTGGTGGAGCTGTCTCAGATCGGATCCAACAACTGAAGGGTGCCGGGTCCAGGAAGAGAACCTTTGTGATGAGACTGGCAGTCCTTTGTGGGCTCTTATAACGAGAGCAGCATACAAGCCCAGTGAAGCACTGCTGATCACGATTCATAGAAAGCAAGTGCGGAGTTGGCTTGACTGGCATTGCTGGGGAAGGAAAGAAAGCCTTCAGTGCTTTTTCCTGATTAAGAGGAAACCCTGACATGACCCATGGTGGGAAAGGGCTACAGTTATGAAGGGTGACATAAGGAAAATTCACATGCAGTGCTCTTAATTCCAAATAAAAAGAGGCTAGGGAATCTCTGTAAGTCTCCAGGACTTTCAGGAGAGTAAAGACCTGCTTGGCCAAACCCCAAGATGAGGAGGGATATGAGGAAATAGATCATGTGAACCACAATATTGGAGTTGGAAGGGGCCATGAAGACTATCGGGTCCAACCCCCTGCTGTTGCAGGTCACCAATTTATACCTATATGGCTGTCTGGTTTCTTTTTGAGAGAATCATCAAACACCCTGCCTTGTATCACCTTCCTGCAGATCATCAGGGAAAGACTCCAAAACTGGGATGTCAGGCATGTGTGGCAGCATCAGTGTTGATCCTAAGAGTATGGGATTCACTGTGAGACTTGGTAGCAATACTGGAATGGCAGGTTCCAGCACACAAGTCATTTTTTTCCTCTTCAGCACCAACGCTTAGTGTTTTTAGGCAACTTTTGGTCTTAGAAGCCCATAAGCCCTCAGGGGTCTTGGAGAATGTGAAAGGAAATAAGAGTGCAGGTGGAGGAAGAAATGTCAAGAAGGATAAACATGAAGACAAATGTAGAAGAATATCTTCAGCAAAAATGAAAGAACAAATTCCCAGTGAGGCTGCTACAGGGCCCACTGAAAGAACTGAGAAAATAGGTGGAAATGTGCTTGCTGGGCATATGCTTTGGGATGTGGGGGATGAATTCCCACCAAAACTCAGTCTGTTTGTGCAGGCACAGAGCCTATCTGCATGATGCACAGAGACCCTGAAGAAGAACCTTAGTTATAAATAAGCAGACTATTTTCTACTACAGCGCCAAATTGCATGGGGAAGGGTTTCCAAGGAAACAGCTGGCTCTCCCCTTCAGAAAGTCATCCACCTTGTGCAGAAGGTGATAGAAATGGTGATGGGGGGCACAGCTAGCACTTCCCCCCTTTTTTCATGTTTTGTGTACATGAATGGGGTTTTAGGGCATGTGGGAAGCTAGAGGGAACAATTTGTTCTGGTTGTATTTGGCCTTCGAGGTCCAAGATGGAATTCTTGATCTGACACTCTTTGGTTAACTAACTTTACTTAACACATGGGATTTTGGATTGCTGGATTTACCATTTCTTTTGGACTATTATATAAATAAATGCACCTACAGACAAAACACTTGAGCAAAAGGAGGTCAGTTTTGGTGGAGGGCAGCAGATGCAGAGAAATGTGCTTTACAGAAAAACTAAGGGAGAGGGCAAAGAGTTCATAGGCCATGGAGAGCTCTGATCTGTTATTCCACCCTGTCTTCCTCATACAGGTTCTACAGGAGTACCTGCGTCTAGTGGAAGATGTTGAAACCCGGTTGAATCTTGCCATGAAGTACAAGTGCCATGATGTGGTTATAGAAGTGAGTCCCTTCCATTTGATGAAGATGGGGGTGCTCTTTCTCTTGGTTTGTCTTAGCTGCTCTGTCATTGGAACAGTAAATGGTGGCCAGAGATCCTGTATCTAAACCCATCAGTCTCTTACTCCAGTCACCTGGATTTTCAGTTCCCCTGATGATCGGAGTCCTTTCAATGGGTCTTGAGTCACTTTGAGCCAAGATGGCAGAGAGGTGAATGGTGGGTTATTAACCCAAGAGTGCCCAGCTAAGTGCTCTTCTAAAAAGTAACAGCATGTGCGGACAGGAGTCTCCTGCTGCCCTGTATTCCTGATCACCACTTAAATAGTTTCTTGGGGCAATTGTGTGCTGAGGGATCCCAGAGCAGGCTGCTGAAAGAACTTGATTGCTTCCTCAGCAGGTCACTTCCAGCCACGGCTGGTGCTTCTTTCAGCTGGAAGACAGCCATGGCTGCCACTGCAAAATCATGCTTGCTCATTCCTAAGAATTTCAGCCTTCTGTTTCCCCTCATTTCTCTTAAGTTCTTGAGGGCTGAATGAGTCTGTGTTGTTGAACTTCTGTAACTAAAAAACCCTCAAACACCCAGAAGAAAAAAAGACTATACAACTTGGTGAAAATATTCAGTGAATTCAATAGATATAAGACACAAATGAAATCAGGAGGCATTTTATTTCAGGCAATCTCATCATGCAAGGTCAGTTACCAAGTAGAGGGGAAGGAAGAAGGTGAATTGTGGGATACTGGTGTCTAGTTAAAATCTTGGGAGTTCCTTCACGAGATCTGTAAAAAACAAAAATGCATTTTGCCTTAGTCACTGACCTCTGCAGGACTCAATTTTAGTCTTGCATCCCTTACTTACCAGGTATTAACCATGTCTTTTGATTAAATCTTTCGACACTGGCATTAAAATGTGCTTAAAAATCAAAGATAGAGTTCTTGGAAATTTGTCAGAGGTGCTGGATACTGTGCTAGAATTAAAATAAGTCAGTGGAAGCCCCAGGGTAGAGGTGCAGGCCACAGTGTTGTAGGACTTGGCATCTTCTAATGTTTTCTGCTACTTTTTACACTTTGGCCACTCTTTGTCTAAAGCAGCCATCTCCAGCCTGGCACCTTCAGACATGTTGGATTACAGCAGATGTGTTAGACTACAGCTCCCAACATCACCTAGACAGCATGTATGAGGATGATGGGAGCTATGGTACAACACATCTGGAGGGTGGCAGTTTGGGGGAGGCTGGCCTGAAAAGCCCAGAAATCAACTATACAACATCAGAATAGTTGGTTGAAATTAGACCTTGATAGCCAGAATTTAGACCTTAACTTCTGGGTATCAAAGATCAACCAAACAGAAAAGAGATGTGAATGCTGTGCATAAGCTTTTGCTGTCCATTTCTTCGGATGCATGAAGTATTAACCTCTGATTGGCAGATTTATATACACATAGTGCTGCTAGAGCTATGAACAGGGTAGTTTGAAGGAAATGAAATGGAGGAAGTACAGACAGTAACTGGGTTCATCTGACATGGAAGCCATGTCATCCATCCTACTCTTGTGTGGGGATTGTCATGGCATGAGAACTTGGCAAACATGGGTTATGCAAGGGTAAAAGAACTATCTAAAGCAGTCCATGGGTTATGTGAGGCTTGTTAATACTTACAGCACCCATGCTTGCTGGATTTGCATGACATAACTCCCACCCACCCGAGTGGTAGTTGCTGTTCAAAATAGTTCCTGCACCCATGTCACAGTCTCACCATTAAATATCATGTCATGTAGACAGGTCCAATGATAGCAGTCATTCACAAAACCTTGTTAGGTGGCAATGCAGATACAGGCATGGTTGCATTAGAGAGCTGAAATTGTGAGATTCAGGTCTATGATAAAGTTGGTTGATATAATTTAGTTGGTGCCTCCTTTTTTTTTGTTTAGACATACAGAGACATGAAGGACCGTCTCCAGCTGATGGCATATAGATGTAAGGTTGAGCGGGGTTCTTCACCAGAGGAGAAGATTGATAGCATCATCAACAACCCAGTAAGAAAAAACAATGTGTATACAATTTGTCAAGACAGAGGGGGGAATTGGAGGTACAGAGCTTTTGAAAAATATTGTCTCTGGAGTGTTGAACAATTCTGTCTTTCAGAGGTCTGCATATCCAGTTAAGCAACAACCAATGGTAAAAAGGGTTCCTCTTTTTCCAAGGAGAGGTTATTGTGGCACCCACTAAAAGTCTTAGTGCAGGAGCTGGCAAAGTTTGCCACCTGTTAGGCTTCGTTTGTTTACTACAACCCAGAGATCCTTTTGTAGAAAACACTTAGATTTTTGTTAAAGTTGTAAGCCCAGATTTTTTTCCCAACTATCAAAAATAAACAGAATTCAGTCTTTCTACACAATAATCCACTCCCAACCCTTCTTCATTTGAGCAGGAGATAAGAAGGAAATTACTTTGTTGTTGCTTCTATTGCTAAATGAATGGAAATCAGAGACTATTTGCTGATCTGCTGCAAATCACCCAGTGATCTACCTACTCCTATTTCAATGCCTTCCATTTCATTTTCTGTTGGCCAGTCTGTTGAAACCCTTAACTGCTGCTGAGGGTCAGGTACTGCACCGTTACATCCATGTCGTGCTGTCTACTCTTCCTTCCTTCCAGCAATATGTTCTGTCAGGTGCCAGATGACATCTGGTTGCAGAATGAAAGTTTGAAGGCTTACAGATGAGCAGAACTGCTAGTGAAAGGAACAGTTAACTGTCTTTCTGTAGCCCTTGTCATCACTTTCTCCATTCACTTTCCCACTCAAGGGGGGGTTCATCAAACTGCTTTTGCACCCTTCCCCCAATATGGTGATCCCAGGGGACACTGCAGGAGTACCAGGATGTCCACCGAGCTGCAGCAAGTCATTTCGTGGTTTAGTGGTGGCCACGTCAGGGCATTCCAAAGGGCTCTTTGTTTTTTTACATGACCACAGCTTATTTTCTGGTCTGGCTTTGGACAACACAGTAAACCATGGTGGGTTTATTAAATCCTACCTACAAGCCAAAGCTACCTAGGTTGCTTTATAAACCACCCAGGTTGATATAGAATAGACTCAAATTACAGGAAGCCAGGTTCCATTTGAACATCTGGATGAACTTCGTGACTGTAGAGCAATACAACAATGGAACCAATTACCTAGGGAGGTTGTGGGTTCTTCTACACTGGAGGCATTCAAGAGGCAGCTGGACAGCCATTTGGGAGGGATGATTTAATTTGGAGTCCTCCACTGATCAGGGGGTTGGACCTGATGGTCCTCTAGTCCCTCCAACTCTACTGTTCTATGTTTCTGTGAATCAATGTGTTGTGCAAACCTGGTCAACATTTTAGAAGGGGCTGACATGAAAGAACAAGGATTTGCTGATGCCTTCATCTTACTAGGCATTTGCTTTTGAGTCAGTTGAGAGGAACTGGCTTTTGTCTCTTTTCCTTCTGCCTTTGAAATTCAAATTCTACCTCTCAAGATTCAATTTCATTTCCAGCTTTCAGTGTGATAATAGTTCACAACAACAATATGAAACAAAGCTGAAACTGTGCAAGACTAGGTTTTCTGGCCTACCACATGCACAAACTTTCTTTCAAAATCAGCCTTCCCTACTCTGGCACTATCCTGATGGGCTAGACCACTGCTCCCACCATCTCCATCCAGCCTGACCAAGCTGGTTGCAGGTAATTGGAGTTGCTGCCAGGTTGGGGAAGGTTACCATAAACCTTTCTACCAGCAGCTTAAATACTGATCCCCATCATACAGATGGAAGTGGAACTGACTGCCTACTTATAGGCAATGCTTCATGTAAGTTCATTGCTTACAATTATCTACCCTATATCTCAGCCAGGTTGTGGGACCAAAACAGGATATGTAACATCCTTTTAATTAATCTGGTGTAGACATTCACTCAAGTTCACTGACTTGGTTTAGGGTTGTCCACTTTCAATGGATTGCCACTTAGTTTTACTGAATGAAAAATCTAATCATCTATTCTAGTTAATAGTTTATTTTTAAAAATCTTAGTTATGCTCTCTTGAGGTGTTTGAAGGTTTCTGTCCTCATCTGTTTCAATGTTGTTCTCCAAGATAGCCTGAAGATATGATTGTATTTGATAGCAGCCATATCCCATTCTGCTTTCTTTTAGCAAATACGGTGGAAAAATTGAGGGCTTGTCACTCATCTCAGAAGCAGCCTGAGTTTGCCATTGGCACAGTGAAGGCAGAGAAGAAAACTGCCAAGCTCGGCTCTGCATCAGCTTTCAGCCACTGCCTTGTTAGTCTGTTGTCAGCTGGCACTGCCTCTGGATCCTGCGACAGGAACAGACGTCTGGGCACTGACGTGAGCCAAAAGAGATGTCCAGCCAATGGAACACAGTGCTGACAAGCTGACGTCTCTGCTCTCTCTTCTCAGCTTGACCATATGATGAAGAGGACATCATTGTATGGGTGAGAGCAGATGAGCAGCCAGTGCTGCTGCTTCTTGGAGACTATTTACCTACTCATTTGAAAGGATCAAGAGAACTGCGTACAATGAAGAATCTGCCTGTATAGGATTTGCTTCCAATCCGTCCACGTGTCTCATCTAGGCCTAAATGCTGGGACAGTGGCTGTCTCAATAGGATTAGAACTCTGGCCTGGACAGCATTTTTACCTCCAGTGCAAATTAAACAAGAGAACTGTAATGCTTATTTAAACTGGGCTAAGTTGTGAAAAGATGCCTGTGGGACAGACTTCCCTGACCTGGTTCATCCAGGTGTGTTGAACTACAATCCCCTTAATCCCTCAGACAGCAGAAATGGTTGAGGGATTGTGGTGATCCAATACATCTGGAGGGTACTAGGCTGAAGAAGGCTGTTTTAAGAGATAAACACACTCCAGTCAGAACTGGAAAACAACCCCAGGTGGAGGCTCTCAAGACTGCTCCTGTGCTTATTGGACAACTGAAATCACATGTTCCCTCAACAAGGGCTAATAAAGCTATATTGTCCCTTAGCACTTGTGTGCTTCAAGGTGTGCAGCAAGCCAGATCTCTCTAGGCTTTGCTTTTGTTAATGGGACTCCTCTGCTCTCCTTATCTTTCATTTTCCTTCCCTGTAAATAAAGCTATGTGCCTCCCTCTGTGTGGCTCAATTGTTTCCTTGTTCCTCTGTACATTTGCCTTATAAGTTTTTTCAAGAGCAGAATCAGGGTCATATCCTCCAAGGACTATAAGAATGATGAGGAATAGCTTTCTAAGATGAGGGGAGGATTAAAGAAACTGACTTTCTGTGGGTCTTTGAGAAGACTATCTCACAGGGCATCCTGTACTTACTGGTTCATGCTGGGGTTGGACTGGGCCAGGGGTTCTGTCGGTTTATTGTAAGAGGTGTGGTCAGGTTTGGCTGGTTATTATATGTTTTTAGAGGCAGAGGCTTTTGCAAGTGGGCTCTATTTTTATTACACAACATCCGAGTTTTATTAGTTTTTACTTGTTGGTTTTAAATTGTTATGGGAGTTCCTGGGGAGTGGGTGGGTGCCCCCATTTGGGGTGGTTATGGGCAAGGGAAGATATGACTGGGGGTCTAACATGTCATTACAGAAGAAGGAGGGACAGATGGCTAATATCTGTCCTCTCTTCTGGTTTCTCCTCCAACCGGAAGGTTCCTGGCTGTAATATCAACTGGCCCTCAGGCTTGGTGGTGCCGCTGTTGAATATCAAGTCGGTCCAAAACAAAACATCGCTCATCCATGATTTAATTGTGGATGAGGGGGCTGACCTGGCAAGCATTGCAGAAACCTGGGCGGGAGAAGGGGGCCATGTCCCTCACCCAGTTGTGCCCATTCGGGTATCTGGTGTGGCACCAACCCTGCCTTGAGGGAAAGGAGGAGGTTTGGCCCTAATTTGTTGAAATTCAATCCCCTTGCAGGGCTTCCTGTCCCTTCAAGACCAGACCTGGATTGTATGCACCTGGTGCTTGGTGATCCAGACAGATGAGATGTACCATGCACCCTTCTGCCCATCAGACTCCCTGCCTGAGCTGATGGAGATAGTCTTGGACCTGGTGTTGAGGACCCCCATGATGTTGGTCCTGGGGGACTTCATTTTCCACACCAAGACTGTTCTGACCAGGGCTGCTCAGAACTTCATGGCTGCCGTGACAGCCATGTGGCTATCTCAACATGTCACTGGCCCAACGCATGAGAGAGGCCACACTCTAGACCTGTTTTCTCAATGGGACAGGAAGATGGTGGTCTGGAAATGAGGAATTTGACTCTTAACTCCTTTGTCATGGTCCAATCACTCATGAAGTGTGAACTTGGGGCCAGTTTCTCTCTCTGTAAGGGTGTGGACCCTATTAAAATGGTCCACCTCTGGGGGTCTTATGTGGGACATTCTTTTACAGCTGGAGTGCTTATCCTCTTATAGGCCAAGGGCCAAATTCCATTTTGAAATATTTTGGTGGACCGCATCTCGGAAACACTTGCAAGGCACTTCGGCCTTTTCTAATGTGGAATGGTACACAAAAGCTGGGAAGCCACCAAAGCATTGGATAGCAGAGCGAGCATGGCCATCTGGAGAACCTTGGAGAAGGGTGGGCTTGTGTGCCTATATTCCTACTTTAACTTATTTTAAGAAAACAACCTTACTGTGAGGATTGCAGTGGACTAATAACATATATGTAAATTAAACTTCTGGTGCAACTAGTTTGAGAATTCTATTTTTACATATGTCAGAATCCCAGAATCTCAATTTGAGAAGAGGAAATAAAACTCGGGGTCATAGGAAAGATCAATCGTTATGAACCTCCGCGTCTTTATGGTCTATCCCAGGTTCCCGCGGTTGACTCACGATAATGCATTACCGGGCTAGCAGAGATGAACTCGCTGCAAAGCTTCAATAGCATTACAGGGCATTTATAGGTACACAGGTACAGGGCAATTGATGACAGAATGCAGAGATTACAATAAGATTCTGAGGTCATCACATATAGAACAGATAAATGTCAGTCAATCACACTGTAACAATGAGATTAGTATGGACACTTTGAGTAACTTGAACCCATCTCCAGGTTTGCTTAGACATGCAAATTCAAGCTACTAGAAACTTCATGATGCTCAGACCCTTATCTCAATTCTAAACATTCTGCTTGATCAGGGCACATGAAGCCCTCTGGGCTATCAAAAGATTATTGTAAACTGAATTCCAACAATTACTATTTATAATGTATATTTGGGCTAAAATGGCCTACTGTAGCCTACAGCTAAAGGTGAGAGAAAGGAGCGAGGGAATGCCATTTTAAACAGTGACAGCTTGGTTTTGAGAAGGAAGACAGGATTTGATCCCACAATGCAAAGGCACATAGGAGTAATGCTTTTCAGACAGGATTTACCCAAATTTTCCCAACACATAGCTTCATTCATATACACAAAGTGTCACTTTTTTATAAGGTGCCCTGGAAATACTATGTTGAATAGTGAGGTGTGTGTTCATAAATTAAGGGTGCAATCCTATGCATATTTACTTAAGAAAAAAGTCCTACCGCTCTCGGTATTCCCTGGCCAAGAAATGGGATTGTTTTTCTTCTTAAATGTACACAAATCATTCGTTAAATGCATTAAGGTATACATGTGTTTCTGTTTTGAAGGGAGAGTGAACTCCAAAAGATGTAAGGCCAATTAAGACTGGATTGCTGAAGTATAGCTCTTTTAAGTTCTATGAGTGTAACTTATTATGTTACAATTATAATTCTAGAATTCTCACTTCATGTATAGACCGTGTGCTCAAAGAGTGGACAAAGCCATTGTTTTCACCCTTTTTAGGTACCCGAGTTGTGTACAAACATAACAAAAGATTTCAAAACTAGTGTAGAAATCTAAAGCAGTGAGCAGTTTAACAATCCCATACATGGCTACTTGGAGGCAAGTGCTATTGCATTCAGTGAAGGTTCACTTCCAGGTATGTGGGTGTAGGACTGCAGCCTTCATCTAATTTCTACCCTTAAGGAACATTCAAATCATCATCTTGTTTGGATTTTATAGGAAACTGGAAATAGTTTGCTGTCTCTTTTAAAGGTGGTCACAATGAAGTCATGAAATGCAAAAAAGCATTCTAGAAACAAGGCTCCGTAGCTAAGCATTTGCCATGGCAACAGCATTTTGTTTAGATTGGGTTCTTGGCTTCTGTTCAGACTAGCCGTTGATGGGGAGGTGCCAGAAGCTTATCGTAAAAAAGGGAACTTGGTGTTGCGTGTCCTTTTCGGTAGATGTGAGACCGGAAAGCCGGGTGAGATTGCTACACGCTTCGTTCCTGTGCTCCTCTTGGCCAATACGTTTTAGGGTCAGACTGGTCCTTACAATTCAAATAAATTGTCCTCCTGTTGGGATCTCTAAGGCCCTGGTTTTTGCAAGCTCCGTTTTAAATTGAGCAAGGGGCGAGTAATGTAAATTCTACCTATTGATTCGTTCCCAAGAACTGTCCCCCTCTATCATCCCTGGCACAAATAGCAGTAGAGGCACTGTTGGAGAGGAGGCAGCAGGGGATTGTAGTACTCCTGGGCAGATGCAAAAAAGAAAGCATCGGGGACATGTGCTAGGAAGCTGCTGAAATGCCTGTGATTTGATTACCGATTTTGTATTATTTGATTTGTGTTTGGATTTCTGTTGGCTAAATTGGTATACAGCACCGGGGACAGAGTGGACAAACTTCAAGCTTGCAAAATCTCGTCAGAGATTTTTACTAGAACCCTGAGATCAACCAGCCAGAACTTTGCACAAAAGACCATAAAGGTAGAACAAAGGAATTCTGAGCCCAGGAGTTTGGTGTGCCAGAAATGAACAGAGCCCTTGGTGGTTCCACACAAAACTATACTCCTGGTTACTCCTGGCTTTCTCCATTTCAGCACCAGAATTCAGAGTGAGTGGTCATTTTGTTGTTGCTATTGTTAAACTGTTGGAAGTCAGAAGTCCTTGCTAATGTCCTGCAAATGACCAAGAGATCTACCAGTAGATCTGCTTACCTAGGCCTAGGAAACAAGGTGTTTCTAGATGGAGGAGCAACTAATGCTATCTGATGGCACCGTGTCTTTTTTTTTTTCCTTCATGGATCTTCTACAGTAAGAAAGGAGACAGAAGCAGCAATGGATAAACATGGGAGGGTTGTGAGTAGAAGATGACACTATCTGAATCTTCTGTAAAATTCCACAAAGAAGCAGAGAGAAGGTGCCTCACCTGGAAGCACTTTAGCTTAATAGGCACTAAGAGGTATAATAAATATAGGCCGGAAGAGAGCCATATGGCTATCAGGTGGTATAAAAATGCCATAAAGAAATAAACCATTCCAAAGCTGGTTATGTCTTATTGTCTACACTACAGTTGAACTATCTTGCACCATGTGTGGTATGCTTGCAGAAAGTGTGGGCACCCTGAACAATACCAGGGGCTAAGCGGCTGCTTGCTGTGGAAGGCTTTTCTTTAAGCTCAGGATGGCTGATATTATGGCAAACCTGAAGACCTTCCAGCCAGAGTATGGGGCAGGGACGAATGAGCGCCTGCTGTATCTGAGATGCCGTGCCAAAGGACTGGCAGTGACTGCCTGTGCTCATGCCCTCTTCTTCTGCAAAGTGCTCCAGGCCACCAGGTAAGGCAAACAATATCTATCCCTCCTGTTAATTAAAGTACCTTTCCGGTACATGACAAACTGGTCTTTTAGGGCTGTGGCTCCAGGTTCCAGATAGAGGCCTCCTAGCACTATAAATCAGAATGCACTGGACAGTTATTCTACACCCCCACCTCTCCCCCCTCTCCATCTCTTCCACTAAACAATGTAAAAGGGGGCCTTCTTTAGTGCAAAGGAGGGAAGGAAAACTTTCACCTTCCTGGCAGAACGAGTGGAGTCACAAGAAGAAGTTGCTGGACCAGTTAGGAGAATGACAACAGCTTTTTTGTGTCCCTTTTCAGGCAGGAAGAGGAACAGCTGAAGATCGGGATTATTGGTGGAGGCCATATTGGGAAACAGCTGGCTAGGGTGCTGCTACAGCTGAGCGATATTCCAGGAAAAAATATCCAGATCTCCACAAGGCAGCCAGAAACTCTATGTAAGAGTCAGGTAAACGTAATAGATATCAGAATCTGCTCTTTCCTACAGATTCTGGTTGCTTGCTAAACCTGCCATTCCCTCTGTTGTAAAGGTCCAAATCTGTCCCTTAAAAATGTCTCTAAAAGCTATTTGCTTTCGGCACAGGGATATGTCCCCTGATTATGACATTTTGATTTGTTCTCCTTTCAGACTTCTAATTAGCAGTTGCAAACAGCTAAAAAAAAAGCCACTACAAGTTCCCCGCAAAAGTTAAAAGCAAGAGCTGCTATGGTCCACTAGATTAAATGTTGGTCTGGACTAGCAAAGTGAGTTCAAAGCCTGATTTGACTGAAGTTCTGCACCTTAAGTGCTTCAGCTTGCACTGGCAGATGATTTTTGCCTATTCCCCAACTCACTTAGGTCCTCACCTCTGCCAAAAAAACTGCTTTTGAGGAATGGGGACTCACCTGAACAGTAGTGTTTTCTGCCGCAGCAAAGCACTGAGTTTTGTTGTTATGCGCTATCCAGTCATTTCTGACTTATGGCAACCCTATGAATGAATGCCCTCTGAACTTTGCTGTCCTTCACAGTCCTGCTCAGCTCTTGTAAACTCCAGGCTGTGGCTTCCTTTATGGAAACAATCCATCTCATAGTTGATTGCCGCCTCCTCCCGCCTTCGACTTTTTCCAGCACAATTTTCTGCTCCAGTGCGCCTTTCCTTCTCATGACGTCTCCCAAGTACAGCAGCTTCATTGAACTCAATTGAAGCATTGAATACACCCTCACAGTTGTTATCTAGATTAAGTTCTTGGGATTGCAAAGGAAAGGAGGGATCTATAAAATCCAGATTAAAATGTAATCATGCAAATGTAATAGATTATTTCATTCACCCACCTGCCAACCAGGCTACAGGCTTCTGTTTTCTCTCGTCTATTAATCTTACCAATGAAGTCTTTAGGTAACATTGCTAGTATAGCTCCTGCTTGCCTTCATTCACACCTGCATTCAAATTCACATGTATGTACAGGGCACTGAATTAATGGAATCTTTCAGCAATGTGATGTTTATGCAGTGGACTATGTCTTGCGCTAAAGGGGCAAGAACAATCTCCCTGCATATTTTAGCTTAAAACTCACTCCCTGCAACTGAGTCCTAGAAGAGACGTCTCAGTGTTTTATCACAGGGAAAAGCCTTCACAGGAGCTGGGAAGCCACCAACTATTGGGTGGCTGGGTAGAGGGGAATGGAGCCAGGGAAAGGAGGCATGGTGAGGTGAGGGACACCAGATTTATTTATTCATTCATTCATTTATTTTCCAATTTATATCCTGCCTTTTTCCTACAAAGGGCTCAAGGCAGCTTACATCATTCTCCTCCTCCATCTTATCCCCACAACAACAACCCTGTGAGGTAGGTTGGGCTGAGAGTCTGTGACTGGCCCAAAGTCACCCAGTTGGCTCCATGGCTGAGCCGGGACTAGAACCCAGATCGTCTGAGTCCCAGTCCCATGCTCTTAACCCCGACGCCACACTGGCTCTCAGATTGGCTAGATCAGGTTCCCCGGAGAGCCAAATTTTGCCTGTGAACATGAGATTCTGCACCCCTGCTTTAGAGCAATCCTCTAGGAGTGAAAGGAAGAAATGAAACCAGCATAGGTATATTTACCTGTTTTGGGTGCATACAGTGTGACAAGTAAATTTAGGGAGAATTGGAGACTAACAAACTGGAGTAGTCTGTATGGGCCAAGTACGATGATCACATTGAGAGCTTGGACTCAAAGGGGTTAAAAGGCATAAGCAGAGAGAGAAGGGTAATGATGTTAGGCATGAGAGCAAAGGAAATAAATGGCTTGGCTCTATGAATGAATTGCAGCCCTCCAGAGACATCCGGAACGGCATCTTGGATTGAGTTCTGCTTGGTTATTGGGTTGCTGCCATTGTGTGGCCTCCCTAAAGCCTCACTTTCAAGAGTTTGGTTTGGAGCAGGTTTTCAGAACAGAAAGGGCTGTGAGGGTAGCCAAGTGATTAACCTCTAGAGGTAAAACCTTATTTGTCTAGGGGTTTTAGGACTGGAGGATATTTCCCAACAGAGTATTAGACTGACCCATTCAAATTACACGTGTGGAATTCTTGAATATGGGAGATAAGGAAGGCATTTGCCTTGCCCAGAATTCCTATTGTTTTTCTACTCACATGAGGACAAGTCTTAGCAATTCAGGTAACATAAGTTGCCTTACACTGAGTGAGACCCTTGGTCCATCTAGCCCAACATTGTCATCAGTGACTAGCAGGGTTTTGGGCAGGAATATTTCTAGTTGTGCCTGAAGATGCAGGGCATCAAAGCTGGGAACTTTTGCATGCAAAGCATCTGGACAAGCCCTGACCTGCAGTCTCAATGGTAGGGAATCCAGTACATACAGGGAGCTAGCATGCTACCATGTAATTCTAATTAGGACAGGCCCTTTCAGCTTGCATCTACCATAGGGTTGTTTTGGTCCCACCTGCCCTGAGCAGCGTTTCTGAAGAATAAAGCATATTGGACAAGGTACTAGGGTGACACTAATAAAATTTGTGTGTACAACAGCCATCAGGCCCGAGTTGCTCAGTAACAGTTAATAATGAGTGTCTAGAATGTATACTATCAATCAAGACAAGATTGATTGTCTCCCCAAAAAACACAGACGTTTATGCTGGAGATACCACACTACATGTTGCCTTGTATGGTAATTCTATTCAAAATATCTGGATGCAAGGCCTTTATCCCAGATAAGATGCACACACAAAGGAAATAATTGGACAGAAGATGGATGTATAGAATGGATTTCTTTTCAGTAATCATCTCTGAGGATAGAGAGGGGGAGGATTATTAAAAAGCTTTTAATAGCTTTTGAATACTAGCCAGTTCCTAGGGCTTGGCTGCAGTAAATGATAAGCTTTAAATCAGAGTTTTTGAAATAGTGCTAGTAGTTTTATTTCTCCATTGTAGCCTTTTCCAACCTGGTGCTCTGCAGGTGTTTTGGACTGTATCTCCCATCAGTCCCTGCTAACATGGCCAATGGTCCAGAATACTGGTAGTTGAAGTCCAAAGCATCTGGAGGGTGTCAGTTTGGAAAAAGCTGCTCCATAACCTCAATAACCTACATTTGGTACCACTATGGTTGTTAATCCAAGCTTCTCTCATTGAATGAGAGGGACAGTATGTAATGAGACCATCTAGTTATTACTGTGTGCCACTTTATTTCACATGGATGTATTTCTGAGGCAGCTATCCATGCAGGCAACACCTGGACCCAGCTTAACTGACACAGCACTTCCACTGCTATTACAAATGGAAAATGTCCTCTGAAGTTCATTATGCATGGAGTCAGGATCACAAAATCCTGCAAAGAAATATTCTCAGTGGTTGCCCCATATTTAGAATTCTCCACCTACCAAGGTATATGCCTATCTGTCTACAACCATGAATCATTCATCCATATTCCCATGCAGACAGGTGGATCCAGGGTAGCATGATAGGGTTCATCACTTGAGAGCACAGATGAGGGATCTGTGTGAAGATTTACTCTGTTCATTTGGACAAAGATGTACCCACAGGTGGGCACCTAGCAAAACAAGTAAGTTACTGAATGTTTGCCCTTTACCCTCCTGCTTTTTACTTGTAGGAAATACTGTTTGTTGGAGAGTACTCAAAAATGTCACCCCACATTTGAACTGGTACAGTGAGTTCCGTTGGATTGAGTGTCTCTGCTTTCTCATCATTCCACATGATCTGGGCACAATAAATCAAGAGGGTTGGGTTAAAATAATCAACACACGTTTGCTGATTTTAGGTGCTTGGCATAGTCTTCACAATCCATTCAAATAAAGACCTGAAGTATTATAGCCTAACAGTAATCTTGAATATGTTTACTCTGAATGAAGTCTACGTTTAAATGAGATCTACCTCTAAGTAAATTGGCATAGGATTGCAGCCTCAAGACACATAGTGGCCAGTCACGGTTACCAAGAGTTGATTCTTCCTTTTTTTATTTAATCTGTTCTAGTAGAATTCCAGATGTTGGGAATTGACTGTTACTACAACAACAGGCAGCTGGTGGGCTGGGCAGATGTTGTATTCCTCTGCTGTCTTCCATCTCACCTCTTGCACATCTGCTCAGAAGTTCAAGATGCACTCAGAAATTGCAGCATTATATATAGTCTGCTCACAGCAATTCCTCTGCCCAGGTACTGTGCACAGTGACATCAAGGCTATCTGGATTTGAAAAAAAATCCACATACCTTTCCACATGGTTTCTTTGAGGAAAGTCCACAATGAAACCAGCACATTTCTGTTCAGGTTTAGCATATCACCCAGTTGTACCTACTTAAAAGCTTTTAAACACCAATTTCCTCAGAATTTGAGCCATTACTCCTATGTAAATATTAGTAGATCTCACCTGCGGGATGTCACTGTTTTTGGTGGTGCAGTATTATTGTGTGTGGAATTGGTTCTAATAATGTTACTTGTATGGAATTCCAAAGCAATCACTGGGATCATCACTATAATTTTTATACTGCCCAATAGTCAAAGCTCTCTGGGCAGTTCAAGGTTCTGGGCATGGACTGCCATCCAGTGTACATTCGCAGGGGAGCAAGCTCCTTTTCAGCACAGTGCAGCCTTTTCCAACCAAGTACATTCCAGATTTATTGGACTACAACTCACAGCACCCTCCATCCAGCTCCTGTTCACCCCAAGGTGGCCATGTGTCCTACATCATGGATGGCAGTCCGCTGAAGGTGCCCCTTATCCAGTCCAGGATTGATTTAAAGATTAGAAGTATTTTACTCCTATTTACATAATAGGACTTCTGGAAGCTGCCTTATGCTGAGTGATGCCACTGGTCCATATAGCCCAATATTGCCTACACCAGGGGTAGGGAATGTCCAATTGTTGGTTGAATGATGAGGGATGGTGGGAATTGCAGCCGAATGACGCCTGGACAGCCTTGGTTCCCTATCCCTTGTCTACACTGACTGGCAGTAGTCCTCCAAAGATTCCAAAAAGGAGATGCATATGAGTAGCAATATCAGAAGCTGCTTTCTTCGTCGTGGCCTCTGTGCACACACATATGGGTACTGCGCCTGCGGCTGGAAGATTGCCAGCTAACGGTTTTTGGTGGGAAGCTCCACTCCCCCTCCCCCCCGTGGCCTGTAAAGAGCAGAGCGTCCACCATTTTGTTCAGTCTTTGCGACCGCCATTCACTGTACCTCGTGCCACTTTTGACTTTCGCTTTGACCATTGCCTTTGTTCTCGATCGTTCCACTTCTATTTTCCCAGTTTTCTCCTTGCTCCCAGTTCACTGTTCTGCTCCGCGTAGTTCTAGTAGGGGTAGGGAATGTATGACACTCCAATTGTTGGTTGAATGATGAGGGATGGTGGGAATTGCAGCCAAATGACGCCTGGACAGCCTTGGTTCCCTGTCCCTTGTCTACACTGACTGGCAGTAGTCCTCCAAAGATTCCGAAAAGGAGATGCATATGAGTAGCAATATCAGAAGCTGCTTTATTGTCAACATGGACTAGCAGCAGCTCTTCAGGATTTCAGACTATTTCCTCCCATCCCTCCAGCTGCAGGTGGTTGAACCTGGGACCTTCCGTAGGCAAAACAAATGCTCTACCACAAAGTAACAGTCCCTCCCCTTATGTCATTATGTTGATTGGTACTGGCACATATACATTCCACTCCTTTCTGTCTTGTTTGATAATTCATTTCCTCTTTTTAGATCACCTTACTCAATTTACTCTATATTCACCAAACTCTGTATGCATGCCTGAATGTATATAAACACACACACACACACACAAATGAGCAGCAGGGAAATCTGTGAAATAGATACTGGCTCAGGCTAAACCCACTTGGATTCCAACCAGCCAACCCCACCCCTCACATTCAGGCAGGGGGCAAAAGTTTGATGTATTCGTTTGCATTCCTAGTATGTGTGATAAAAATTGTTCTTATATAGATATGTGCGAGCCAACTACTTTCTGGGTTCTAAGGAAAGGTGTGTTTGCAAATATTTGATCCAAACAACTTTGGCAGGACACATCATCATACCTCAAGAAAAGTTGCATTTGCCCTGTATACAATATGAACATTTTCACTCAATGTAAAGAAAAAAAAATGAATATTTTTCTCAGTTAAAGACTGAAAGATTGTTTTGGCCTTTTATTCCTTTCATTTAGCATACAAATGATGAGATCTAAAAATGTATTCAGAAAGCATGAGGCTCCACCCCTGCCTTCATTTAATGTGTGGAAGCTGAGGCAATCCACTTATTTGGAGAATGCATTTCTGAGGGTGTGAAGAAGGCTTTTTTGGAAGGGTGTTTACTGCTCCCAAAAGTTGAGATTTGTAGATTGAGGGTGGGTGGGGGTCCTGAATTCAGCATTGTTACTGAGGTATAGGAGGCCTTTGTGGCACAGAGCACCTTTTTAGCAGCTCAGGCTAATATACCAACGACATATTTGAATAAAAATACCCTAGCTAGAGTTATCCATGCTGTATAACTAGTTATCTAGGTCCATGTAATGTGTTATACATAGGGCTGCTTTTGAAAATGTTCTAGTAACTTCAACTGGTCTGAAAGAGGGCAATGAGATCGTTAATAAGGGCAGATAGATATGAATATATGAGGTCAGAATTTTGTGATCTGCAGTGACTTCTGCCCATTTCCGCAGTCAGTTCCAGTGCTGCTGTTTTGGAAGTCCTCAACCACTGGATTGTCTCCCTCCATATGTACTTGTTCAGATCCCAAGACTGCCCTTGGAGGCCCTCTTTTGAGTACTTTATTAATTGAAATGATGCAGGTGCTACTAACTAAGAAGAGGACTTTTCGGTGCTAACATCCTGATTATTGAATACTCTCCACAGAGAGCCTTGCCTGGTACCTGTGTTTTGGAATTTTTAGTGAAGACCTTTTTATTCTTCTAGCCCTTTTAGTTCTTCAGCTTTGTTTTCAGTCTCTTACTGTATTTTTAGATGTTCCAATGCAGGTAGTTCCACTGGTTTTATACTGTAGTTTCATATTTTATTAGGTGGTTGTATTTCATGTTTTAACTGTTGTGAATCCCACTAGAGAGCTTTGGTTATTGGGTGGTAATAAAATGTAATAAATAAAATGCACATTTTTGATTCAGTATCTTTTTGGCAGCTTGCAGACAGAACGGGGAGTTAATTATATGCAATAGATCCTTATTTTGTATAATTCTACATGTGTACATCCTTCTTCTGCAAGTGTACCTGCTGGATCATGGTCTACCTCAATTTTTATGCTCTTACTTTCAGATTGAAACAATTACTTTCCTGCAATTTCATCTTGAGGCCACAGTACAAGTTCATGGAAAGTGGCTCTTTTTCTATATGGGAGGCTAACAGGACGGTTGTGGAAGCCCTGAAAGACCCAGACGTTATTCAGGCTACATGTCCCTGTAGCCCAAAAGGTAGGCAAATTCTTTTAAGTCTGTAGCCCATGTAGAGAATATATTTACCACGGATCTGCCCTTTCATTGGCCATTTATCGTCACCCCTTTCTCCATTTCTACATTCACCCATCTTTCTGCAGCCCAGAAAGTGGGGTGGGGGCACTAGATGCTGGTGCACAATGGATTAGGATTGGCTGCAACAGCTTGGAAAACTTAGCCCAGACAGACCATGCCATTGAAGCCCAGTGCACATTGACAACAGATTGAGATGTCAGGGATGGTGCTGAGAGATGCCATTTTGTAATGGTTCCGCACGTATATAAAACACTAAAAGAAAGAAAAAACTAGCATGTTTGCTGTGCTATCTTTCTAGACATGGAACTGCTTTTGTAGAGGAGCATTAAAAATGTGACCACAATATGGTAGTTGCTTCAGAACTCAAGTGCTTCATTTTGTCTCATTTTGCTGCAAGTAGAGATGGAATCTGCATCCAGCAAAAGCGCACCTTCCCTGTCCTGTTCTCACATATGATGGGATTAGGCAGGTCAGCATCCACAAAAATGTGGAAAAGGACCTCAGACAATGGGTATTTGGCACTTCCCTAGGGGAAAGCCACTAATTGACAGGAAGAATGCTGCAATTTGTTGTATAGGCTTTTGCTCTCAGGATATAGCGAACTAAATATTTAAACTAAATATTTAAATATTTTAAATCTAAAATAGAGGTCTCCCATTTTACAGGGGAAATTTTTGTCAATACAAAATGGCTGGCAGCTGTGTTGTATGCAGCACTCAATAGCTACACCTGGCAGCGGCTGTCCTATGTGAGGGCCTTGGTTTTACTCAATCAGCTGTGCTTTTCTGAGGATAAAGTCATCACTCCAGCAGATGATAAATCACCACCACCACCATTTCTAGTTTGTGAAAACTTTATTAACCGAGCCTTTGCTTCATCTCTGAAAACTGATGAGTAAGTAAAATCAAATAGGAAATAATGGAGCTTAATTTTGCCCTACTGAATATTTTTAAAAGCTGACAATTTAACATTTATGGCATTTAGAAGTATGATACCTATGGTGCAAATCCTTGGCGTCCCAACATTGTTTGATGGGGGGTATGGGATAGGGCAGAGCCCCATTGTGACCTCAAAAAAAGCACTCTGAAATCTGAGTGGGTACTTTGACCTCACAGTTCTTGGCACACCTTTTTCCTTGGAACCACTGCAGGAAGGGGGTGGGCAATGGTGGGATGAGATGTCTTCAGCAGGAGCCAAGACAACAGTGCTGAAGCCTGCCTGGCCTCCATAGACAGGGAATTCTACTGAAATGGCACTACTGCAATGCAGAGTCCTCTTTTGGTGGACTCCAGTTGGTCCAAAGGTTCAGAAGGTTATTGTCCAATGACCTCAGTGATCAGGCAGTGTAGATTATTATTCCCCCACCCCCATATTTAACATTTTCTGTTCTAGTTCCTTCCCCTGCTTTGACCTGACAACAGTACAGCTAAAAGATTCACCGCTTAGCCAACTTCTAGCAACAAATACATCTTTACAGAACAGCTTCGCTTTATTTTACTATAACCTGATTGCTACAGCATCCACAAACAACAACGAATCCATGACAGATAATTCTAAAGGGATACCTCTTTCAGCTGTTCTACTGAATCCCCACAAGTCTTTGAATCATAGCTTGGATGAGCCTTGTATAAGCAAAGAAGAAGCACTGAGTACTGATTCTGAGGAGGCATAACTACTCTGTGAATCCAAACCTCAGAATTAGAAATGTGTTTTGCCTTGATACATGTACTAAAAGAATTTTGCTAGTTGTTAGTAACCCTTTCTGACCAAATGCACATGGCAATTTAGACAGATGAAAAATCAGTGAAAGATACAAACAAGAAAGGAAATCCTACAGACTGAATTACATGACCAGCATTAAAAAAAAAATGGAGATAATCTTATAATCTGCATGGTATCACAAAATAAAGTGAATAGCAACACTAACAGAATTGTTAAAGAGTTTTGCTTCTTGGGCCTTTCATCTAGATAAACTAATTTATGTATGTTGTGTTACTGCGCTATGGTAATAATCTGCTGCCACAGTTCTTGATAAGAGAAAAATAGGAACTCTACTTCTTCCTTTATAACCAGGGCAGGGAACCTTTTTCAACCAGAGAGCCATATTCAAGTCTGAGGAGGGTCAGGGGCTGCATCCTTGCTGTGAGTGGATCCTAAGGCCAAATATACCTAACAAATCCCCAGTAACACCCCAGCAGGTTTTAGTTTAACTCTCCTACTGCCACTAGTGCTTAGGAGAGGCACTTCAGTCTTTTAGAATGGAATTAAAATTGCACAAAACCCAGGCAACTAAATGATTGAGGGTCGGAGATAGTGGTATGTGAGAAATAGGGTTTGGGGATGGGAATCAATGAAATTTCCTTTGCTTGGCTCCCTGGACTCCAGCCCACTTTCGGTCTGCCTTAGATCTGTCTCATACTGAGCATTCATGTGGGTGTTCATGTGAGCTGATGAGGCTGGGTTGTGCACACAGGGCCCACGAGCCCTCTCTGCAAGCTGAGTTCTGCCTCTACATATGTTACATTCAGGGTGTTACTTTACTCACAGAAGAAAACAAGATATGCAGTGGGGTATTGCTGGGTAAGGAACAACCTGGTTCGAATGACATACCAATCAATTGTGGAAACTTAGCCAAGGTAGGTTGTTAGGCTGTCTGAACCCAAACTGCTTTTCACAAGATGACTTTTTTCTCCCAGAAGCTATCCTTGGGCTGTTCTAGAAGTTCAACCCATGATAGGATATCGTGATGTTCGAACACATGACTGATCCCTCAAGAGGCTGCAAGAAGCAGTGATGCTCAGCAGGAATAAAAAACAAAAAGCCTTTGCCACCACAAGTGACTGTCCCTCCAAAGCTCCTGAGCAGTGCCTTGGAGGGGTTTCCATTAGTAGGATATCTTTTTTAAAAAATTGTGTGCCAAATGGGGGCAAATACTTTTGCAATTCTTAAATTTTCTTTAGATATATGCAACAGTTGCACAGGTCTGAAAATGGGAAACCTTGCCTGGAAAATGTCCTGGAGATACCTGCTCTCAAAATCCTGTAGCTACACACTCTGGACATTGACCCAGTGAGGCTTCACATAGGGGTTTTTCAACTTTCCCAACAGCAGATGAAAGGTGAGCTGTCATGTCAATGAAAAGCTGCAAAAAGGGGTAAGCACCATTCCTTCATTCATTGCAGTGAGCTTGTCAGGATCTTAAATGACCCCACTTGGTTCCCCCATCTTTTCCACCCATTCCTGAGACTCCAGGTGTTCAGGAAGGTGTAAAATTGCACTCCTCTGTTTGCTAGCATTTGCTTCTGGCAGTTGTGAAAGGCGGGCATTTCTTTGAAAATAGATTTAGGTAGGGCTAGACAGGGAAGGATACATAAAGTATAAATTAAAAATACAAAATTTGCATATTTAAGACATATTTTTAAAAAGAGGTGACTAAGCAGTGACATGCCCTCCAATATGGTACTTAGGCTCTTCAGGTTGTCAATTTGGAGATCACCATTTGCAGTCTTTGGGTAGTGGTGGTGGAAAATTACAGTGAAGAAAAAAGGACTTGTATTCATGGTGGGGTGAGAAGACAAGATGTCTTTATCTACCATGTTCCCTGTGATTTCTGCTGGAGGACCAAGTGGAGAAAAACCCACAGTGGAGTGAGTTGTCTGCTGGGCACACCATGGGTTGTTCACACCACAATCAGTCCACTGTGACTTATCGCCAGGGTGAGCTAAACCTGCTCATTATTCCTGTCACAGAAACAAATGAGAAGCCCCTGCATTGTGTATCCATTGTGCATTCTCCAGTAAATATTTTCTCCAGGTATGATATTTTTATATGAGCTCAAATTAACATTGGGATCAACACATAGTGGGACTGATCTGAAACAGTACATAGTATAAGAATGAAAGCAAACAGGGATTGCGGTGATGTCTCTGTCCCTGCACCCCAGCATTCAAACCACCTTCTTATTCATTTGGGTTACAGTAGTAAGCACATTTCCCTGAAAATACTTTTTGTTGGGTATTTTCTGTTCTGTTCAAATCTTCTGTTCAAATCACGAAAAAAGGAGCCAGATAGACTTTCTGTGGGTGCGGAAAGGACTGGAGAGGCTGTAGGATTCTGGGTCTGCCAGCCTCTCTTCTCCTCCCCCCACCAGCAGTTCCTCTTTTCTCCTGCTGCAAGTGCCTGAGACAGTGGGTGGGAGTCAGTACAGGAGGGAAGGTCCATATTCTATGTATTTAGCTCTGTTTATGGGTGTGGATAAGATATGCAGCATGGCATGACATACAAACTTTGTCTGGGCCTCTGATGCTGCAATCCTATGCACATTTACCTAAGATTAAGTACCCCTGAACACACAGGGACTTACTTCTGAGTACACATTATTGTTAAATGTATATGCCAACTTTCAATGGAGATTCAAAGTATTAAACATAAAATACAGTGGCATCAAAACAACAATACATATAATAAAACAGATTAATCAGCAGTGAAACAGCATATTCCACTGTATGCAAAAACTGTAACTGTTCAGGTCATACTTCAGAGAAAGCCTGTATGAACAGATGAGTTTCATTTGTATTATTTTGGAGGTGTTGAGGATAAGAGGGTAGTTTGGTTATGGCTTCTTAGTAGTAGGTCCATGCATGAGGTGAAGTTTGGACCCTTAGCTTATGCAGCACATCTTAGCCACTGGCATAAGTTCTTAGCTGTCACAAAGTGAAACATGAAGACCATAGGATAAACTCCTGTAAGAACAAATTCCTATGATTAGGCATGGTCTTATTTTGTGCTCGCACAAAAGCAACTATAGGATTGTCCTATTTGCCATGTTTTGAATTGGGATGTTACTTAAATTGCAGCAATGCATACCTCTGCTTGTTCCGCTCCCACTAAAGTAGCTTCTTAAGATCAAGTTGTTCAACAGGTTGGTCGGTGGATAGGAGCAACAGAACACTTACATTGTTACATCCAAACATCTGTGAAAACAATGCCAATTTATTTATTTGACTAAACTGAATTAGCTTCTTGTGGACTTTCATACTGTGAATCTTCATGCTGGGGTTCTTCATGTGGTGGACTTGGAGGCTGTGGCTCAAATTCTTGCAGTCCTTTCTCCTGGACAAACTGAGAATAGGTAAGCGCATCACTTCGTGGTCCGGTTTTAGATTTTTGCTCTAGAAACAATCCTGTGTTATCTCTGTGGGGGAGAGAAATGCTTCGGACAAAGGGAGCCTCCTCTATTTCCAGCAAGTCTCGCACATGCTGAGAAACTTCCTGCAAAGCAAAAGGAAGTAAAGAAAAAAGTTTGTATTAGGAATGGCAAATGCAGAGTTAGTACAGATTCTTTTACTTTGATTCCACACCACTTTCATCATAATATTTCACAAGAAAACAGCAGAGGAGGGAAGGGTTCGTGGTGCTTTGCATGCAGACTTACAAAAGACCTGCATACAAATTTGCACAAATCTACCAGCTTCACCTATAATTTGACCCTTAGTCTTTAAGGCATTTTGCTGTAAGAGATCAGCATGGCCAAGCCCCCGGAATGTATCCTCAACAGAGGTACATGCGAAAGTTCTGTATCACCTTAAATTTTTACAGTTACCTTTGCTTTAAATAGGTACACAAAAACACACGTAGGGAACCATGTGAAAGTGCCTTGACATCATCATATTATAGATGGCCATAGGATTTTTTGGAGTCTAAACACTAAGCCTAATCTTGTTGTTGTTAGTCACAGAGTTGTGTCCGACCCATCATGACCCCATGAACAACATTCCTCCAGGCCTTCCTGGCCTCCACCATCCCTCAGAGTCCACCCAAGCTCACACCCACTGCTCCAGTGACTCCATCTAGCCACCTGGTCATCCCCTTCTCCTTTTGCCATCAATTGTTCTCAGCATCAGGGTCTCTAAAGGACCACACCCTGCCATCTTGCAGCCAGGTGTCCCACCACTCAAGGTCACAACTGGGTCTTGGAAAGGCAGAGAGGGCAGCAGAGTACTGCTAATTCTAGCCAGCATCCCAGCTTCCTTCACAGTGCTGGCCATCTAGATAACATGCAGGGCATGATATGTGGGGATGGCTGCTGCTGTCCCTTGCATTGAATGCATGTAATCCTCTGAGTCTGAAGGCTTATAAGCATCTGCCATGAGGGCAATAGGACTGCACCCTCCAGGTGCCAGATTGAACAAAACAGGGATTAAAATGAGTTAACTGTTGATTTGATAAGAGAGCATAACACATGCAATTATAATCTATAATCACCTGAAGGCTGAATTATTTCTCTAAATTTATACAACATGCTCTTTGATCTGCTAAGATCTCAAAATTAGCATCCCCATTCCAATTGCAGCAATGGGTGATACCAGTAAGTATATCTAGCATATTATAGATGCCCAGGGAACGTAATGGTGATGGTATAGGCAGGTGATACACTAGGAAAGTAGAAAAGTATGGAAAAAGGCATGACCCCAGATGTATCAAGGGACACTTCTTCAACAATGGCTAAACAATGGCCCTGCCCACAGTCTATTTCTGCAGGATTTGTGTTGCAATTCTGTCTGAATCAGAAAAAAATCACCACATTTAAATAAAACAGTATTGTTTTCTCCAGAAAACCTGAAGAAGAGTATGGTACACATTTCAAACAAAAGCTACTATGGAAGCACCAGTGTTGAATAAAATTAAATAAAAAAAGTTTTTAAAAGTCTGTTCTATAGTGTAGTGCATATTTCTGTATTACTTGTGATACAGAAAAGATGCAGTGAAGATTTATGCTCCTACCTTCATATGTTCAAAGTCAGTTATCCCAATCTGTGGTAGATTAGAACAATTTACATGGATGAGTTTGCGGCCAGAGATAAAATTTGTAGTAAAGCACTCCTACTTAAAACAAAACAGAAAATATTACATAGCATGTGTATGAGAAATAGAAAAATATCATCAAAGAAAGTGAAAGATACTCCATAAATTCTATAGAGCCCCTGAGTATCTTCCCATATATTTAAGGACAGTGTTGATAGTTTGGAGATCTAGATCTTGACTCCAGCCTGCCAAATGTTCACTCTTGGCTGAAATTATAATGTATTCAGTAGACTCTGCATCAATCAGTGAAAGAATTTGTTTAGTGATTGGTCTCACATCCTTAGCAAATGAGTACCTTCAGTTCCTACCTTCAGCATGTCTCAAGACTTCCACCAATATACTCATCTATCTGCCAGCTGGCTCTAAGATGTGTTATAGTATGAAGCTCCATGATGCAACCTCTGTGTTTCTATCAGGACATACTAGCCGAGATTCACAGTTTGCAGTTGAAAGTTTCTTTGGGTAAGCGTGCCATCCCATTGTGACAATTTCTCTTAGAGTAGCAGCTATGATAATGAAGGCTGTTACTTGTCTCCCTTACCAACACAAAATAATCCTGATTAACTGCAAGCCACACTGATACCCTTTTATTATTATTTTATTACACTTACCATCTCATTCTCATTCCCATGCCATGTATTCTTCCATCTTCTTCCATCATTGATCCCATGACATTAGCTGTATTTAGGGTTAAATGTTATGGGGTTTTGCCCACAATGATTGTAAGAGCCCAAACGTGGAGGCTTATAAACTTCCTATGCATGCTGGAAGGAGTGGTAGAGGGAATGTTTTGCTCCCTGTCCTCCTTTCCAGCACTTTCTGGGGTATTTGGAAGGAAGATGGAAGAAAGCTGAAAATGCTTCAGGATAGCTGGTATCTTGCCTCTCCAGTCTCCTCTGCTGCCAGCCTATTGAAATACCCCCTTTCTCCTTTCCTTCTCCAAATTCATAAAAGTGACCTTAGTGGGCAGCAAACATAGTTCTTTCTATATGAGGTTGTGAGGAGGAGTGGGAGCCATATGCTGTGAGCCATTTCTTGTACCATGGATCAGAAATTCAAATTATCCTATGGCTCCTCACATATTGTTTAGGGGCCATAGAATTGTTTAAAGAAATATCTGTTAGTTACTACTGTCTAGCTCTCAGTGATGGGCCATAGAATTGTTTAAAGAAATATCTGTTAGTTACTACTGTCTAGCTCTCAGTGATGGCCCTTCTCCCCTGCCTTCTGAGGAAACATCTTTCTCTTGAGAGATGAGAAAAGAAATAGATCAGCTTGAACTGAAATGGAGAAGAGAAACAGCAGCACTGAAGAAAGAAAAGAGGAACAGGCCAAGAAAGAACCTAGCAGCCCAGAAAGGCATGCAGTCCAAACAAGAACGCGATTAATTCTAAAATGTATTCTCATTGATCTGAACAACTGAATTGCACTTCACCATAATTTTTTTGTTTCTTCTCCCACTCAATCCCTTTGCTTTGAATACATGTCTTTTAAAGTTCTGGGTCTGACTAATTACTGATTCTTGCAAGCTTCTCTGGGAGTAGAATAAAAATACTTTAAATAATACGATTTTTAAATGCCTGAATTTATACTAGCTTGGAAGATTCCTCTTGAGAAGCACAAACTATAATCCCTTAAACCATATGGTTAATACTGTTCTGTGTAACTAAAGAGCGTTATGCACATGCAGATCACCCTTCTCTCTTATTATCAGTGGTAAATGACAGATTTAGAAGGCTTTTCCTTCCTCCTCTCAAACGCACTCTCTTGGCCCAAATGAAGCTCCGCCTCCTTCCCTTCTGAAACTCTCCTCCCTCACGAGTCGCGAGTCGCCCATCCTGTCCCCAGTCCACCTCCCCATTTCCCTTCCCTGAAAGGGCAGCTGGACGCCTTTGCCCCTTTACCTTGTACTGGGGAAAGCCCAGAACTTCGATCCATTCAGCCACCTCCTCGGGGGTCCAGGATAAAAAGGAGGGTCCAATGAGAGCGCGAGACCCGAGTTCGATTCGGAGCTGTGCTTCGGAGCCCTTGTCGGATTCGGGTATCGCAACGGATTCACGTGATGTTCTGGAATCTGCTTTGTCTCCTAACTGAGACTCAGGGCACTCTAAACGGCGCTGGGACCAGCGAACCCAACTCCCCTCCTCCTCTTCCTCGTCTCGTTCCTCGTCGTCGTCGTCGTCGTCGTCATCATAGTCGTCTTCGTCGTCCATGACAATCTCCGGCTGCCTCTCGTTATCATCCAGTTTTGCTCGGGGTGGGACACTAAAAGGACCTCCGAGTCAGAGTCGGCGACGGTGCTATGGCAACGCGTCCTTCCTGGAGCGGTCTCCATGGTTACTAGCACTTCCGGGAAGTGTCACCTTCTTTCCTTTCCCCATTCGGCTAGCCAGGAAAGGCTCTGCTGCAGCTTGGCAAAGATCTCGCTTCGTTTGCGGCCGGCGTTAGGCGGGAACTGTGTAGGGCGGAGGCCTACGAGGAGGCGGCTGTGGTCGAAGGGTTTAAAGCGGCTGTTGCCACATTCGCCGCTCGGCTTTTTCCGGCTGTTTTCGTCTCGGCTCTGCTCGGCTGTCCCCGGCTTTTTTCGGTTGGCTCCGTTCTCCGCCTGCCCATGTCGGACGTACTGTCCGCTGCCGTTGGCACCCGGTTCAAATCCCCCGCGGCCGGGGTTTTGGGCAGCGGGGACGGCAGGTGTGTCAGTTGTCCCGACGGGGCTGAACACGACAAGGCGAAGCGCCTCTCGCCGCCTCCTTCCTCAGGTACGTGTGTGGTGCTGGTTCTGGTAGCCCCTCACGGGTGGGGGTGGGGAAGCCCGCCTTCCTGTCAGGGCCTTTCTTGGCCACGGAACCGAGGGAACACAGGGCGGGGTTGGCGACCGTGAGTTGGTTTGGGAGGCCGGCTTGTCACCGTCCTGTTTCCTGGCAAGTTCCCTGTGCCTTTGAGGAGCGAGGCACGCCGAAATCCAACAGGTGAACCCATCCCGGCAACAGGCACGCTTTGACAGGATGTGCTCCACCTGTTGAATTCCTGGCTTTCACGGAGCTGCTGAGCTGTCATAGGGAAAACAAACAAACAAACAAACAAACAAACACAAAGAACGGGGTGGGGGGGTGACTTTCGTTTTAGGATTGAGTGCTTGAGCCGGGGAGGTCGCGTTGCGGGAGTGTGTATTTGGGAGATGGTGTGGGCGCGCTGCTCTCCTGGGTCGAGCCAAGGAGGGAAGCCGCGTGCCTGCTGGGTTGACTCGAAGGGTAGTGCGTGGGGAATTGACACCGTCGGTATTCAGGCAAGCGTTACTGGAAACCTGTGAAAGGGCTTTCTAACATTTCTTGGGCGGGTAGGTGCTAAAATGATCTTCAGTCAGTGTCTTCGCTCATTTCTAGGCATTTCAGCAGCCAGTTGAAAGGAGAACACTTTTTTTTTTTTTTTTTTTTTGAGATGGCCCCTCAAAACCACTATTTAAGTAAGCAGTCACCCTTGGCTTAATATATGACTTGGTCATGGGAGCTCATGCAGTTAAGACTCTTACAAAGTTACACTCTTACAAAGGAATGAAGTCCCATCTTGGTCAATGAGCTCCACTGAACAAGATGGGTTTTCATCCAAGTAAACATGCATACAGTTGGGCTGTCAGTATCTTCCTACAGCCATTTGTAAGAAAACTGTGTCATCTCTATATATTACTGTGTCCCTCATCAGGGATATCAATTCCAAAGTGCAGTGAATAGCTTTTCCCTGTATCCTCCTTGGATTAGTCACTTTGCATGCCCCCCTTCCCTGAGCAAGATAATGTTGTAGTTGCAGATAGTCATGAATTAAACTTACCAGCACATCTGCACTAGCCTACCCACCTGTAGATGTATCTCCACAACAGAATATGTCTTTAGTGGTGAGAGATCCAATGTTTTCCAGGAAGCATTTGTTAGCTGGGCAGGTGGTTTATTGCAAGGCTAGTTTAATCCTCATATTGCCTCTGTATTCTGTTTTGTAGAGGGAAGATGCATGTAAATGATGAAGCTTGGGAGCTGATTCTTAGAGATGCTTTCTGGGATGTGCATATGGGTAGAACAGCAGCATAAAAGAATCCTTGAAGAGTATCCAGCAAAAGTGTTCTCCGTATTGCTGTAGACACTGATGCTTAATATGTAACCCCAGAACTGTCCCTCATCTATTTGGAAATTATTGCGTCCCAGTAGCCACTGGTGGAACCAAAGAGCATGAAACCAATTGTCAAAAACTAAATCATTAGTCTATTGTAGAAAAGTAAGACAAATAGCGAGCAGGTTTGGGGACAGAATCAAAAGAAGTTTGTGCGACATCTCAGTTTTGCACTGATCACTTGAGAATAATGGGGCTGACTTCTATGTTCAGCTGCCTTATGTTTTAATATCATTTGATAAACTTGTTTGTGAGAGCTGGCTTCTAATAGCTTTTGTTCCCTTGGGGTACTACATTGTTTAATTTTTCTGTAGCATACCCGCTGTTTTATAATTAAGCTAATGCACCTTGGTGTAACTGTTGCATCATGTAACAGATAATAGTCGCATTGCTGTTGAGTTCTTTGTTCTTTTATGGAGTGGCCTCAAATTTAATGACACAGAATAAAAAGATTTAAGTGAATTTAGAGACTGTGTTGATTAATCATTGAACCTGAGAACTGTAGGAATAGGGAGGTTTTGTTTGCCTTACATACTTACTACTGGCATTTTAGATGACGTATAGCCAAAGCTTTTTTCATTTCTTAAGTCTGCCTACTTGCAATACATGGCTATTTTGGGGGAGATGGGGGGGCAGCTGGGCATTGTGGTTAAAGGACTCAGGGTGGGACACTGAATGGTTAAAGGACTGAGGGATGAATGAAGATGTCTCCAGTTCAAATCTAGGCTGTGCCTCACTCTCCTGCAAGTCAAAATGCATAGTACACAAAGATGGTCAAGTTATTTTGGTGCCTGAGGCAGAAAAACCTACAAGTTATTCTACCTGGGAGTAAAACTGTAAAAACAATAACAACAACAACAAATAATTTTCTGCTTTCCCAATACACTCAAAATCAGCTGCCTGTAGTTGTCTCACTCAATGCCATGGTCTTACTAGGTAGATATTGAGAAGCCACAGTCTCAGTTTTATTGTCTCACCTGCAGTTTCAGGATAATTATTGATCTGTCTTATATGATTGTTTGTAGAGATTTGTTTTCAATAAAATAATATTAATATATAAAATATTGCCAATTCTTGAAGTGTGGTATAAATTACTACTGTTATTGTTGTGAATAATTTGTGGTTAATTTCATACTACTGTCCATATACAAAAGTGCTGAATAGGTGCCATTCCAGCCAGGCACATCTGTTGCTCTAGATTGCTGGTTGAGAGACAAACTAGTACATATCCTAGAATCTGATGGACTTCTATTCTATTCTAGTGGTCTTTCTCCTTGTATGTTTGTAAATCTAATATGCATTTTCCTTCCAAAAAATACACTTAACAGAGCTATCACATCTCTAAAGTAAATATTTGCTTCTATTCTAGTTCCATATGATTGGTTAGCATGTATACTTGTGAAAAGAAGTATTCCTTTCTACACTTACCATCTTTCTTCTTTTTAATTTAGTGTATTGCCATGATTGATCCTCAAAATATTTATATTACTAACGGCCCTGGTTCCTAAGTCTTTCATCTGTACCAGGGTGTGAATAATTTATTTATGGAAATCCTGCATCCCAAATTCTGTGACTCTTAGGTGTAGTATATATTTATTATACTGCCCAACAGCCAAAACTCTCTGGGCAGTATTGTAGCCCCCTGACTGGTCGACTGTAGTTCCTGCTCAGCAGTTTCCATCAAGACACTTAGCAGTGTAACTGCTACTGTAACTGCTATTATATCACCATTAGATACTTTAGTGTAACACCTAAAGCAATATCTGGTGTGCTGGTTTTTCAGGAATATTGGTGCATTCACTAGTGCTATGGGCATTGTGTTAAATTAGTTTTAGTGCAATGTAATTTACATTAGTGGCTGTGCCCTGTTGTTTGTTGTCCACTGACAGATCAGTTCATCTTCACTGTTACAACAGCAATAAATGTATTTTCATTTTTTTAAAAAAGCAAACAGCTTGACTTTCACAGGATGTTGAATTCTGTACTTTTGGTAAAATTTCCACTTATTTGCTGGGATTGTGTAATACAGCCTTGTCTGTATGTTCCATATGTTTTATGGAAGAGTTAATGTTTCCGTTCACAGATCTCTCTTTATTTGCTTGATCAGATCACTACTTACATAAAAAGAAATATTTATATAAACCAAGGGTAGGGAAGAAATAATTAAATTTGTTACTAAAACTTGGATGAAACTTTAAAGACACTTTTTTATTTCTTTGAGGAGCTCGCTGAGAAGGCTATAAGACTGAGCAGTATAACTGGGCAGTTCAACAAGGTTTCCTATGTCAGCTGTAAAATGTTTTTTGAAATGGTCTGCAGTATCAGGAAGAAAAAGCACTAGAGCACTGTTTGGAAACAAGTATTCCATGATTCCTCCCTAGCAGAAGTTGGGCTTCGGGAGGCTTATGGTACTTCAGAAATCAATCCTATCTGTTGACCTGTTTACGAGAAGACTACACCTGGTATAATTTCATACCCATTTTTCTTCACTTGAGAGCTGCATGTACTGTGCACCATTATATGCTGCAACAACTTGCGTACATGTCACGTAAATTAGTAGAACAAGATTCTTCATATTTTTAAAGCAAGTACCTAACATTTGTGTTATTCATAAAGGCAGTCTCAGAAAAATGGGAAACCACAGAGGATTGAAAAGCATTATTAGTTCTGAAGGACTGAGAGCTAGTAATGGCTAAGAGTTGTGAACCAGAAATTTGATCTTTCTAGTTAACTCACCCATGAGCTTAGTAAGTGATCTTAGGTAAGATGTTACTATCTTACACATCCTGAGATACTACTTTACAGGCCTGTTGTATGGATTATGAGATAATGCATGTACATTCTTTGTCCTGAAACCATTATTGAAGTGCTAAGTATTATTATTTCAGGGCTCTTTTTACTTCTCTCTAAATAAGATTAGCCAGTAACATAAAACATGACTGTGTATGCTTCTCAAGTGTTCTTGATTTAGAGATGTTCTTGCCTTGAACATCTTGTGACTCAGATTCTTGTTCCCACTGAAGCTCACTGGGTGATTTTGGGTCAGTTACTGATCCAACACAACTTATCTCACAGGGCTGTTGTGAGGATAAAATGGAGAACAGGAGGAATCCAGATATCTTGGATTCTTTTCAAGAGGAAAAAAGGGTGGGATGTAAATCAATAATAATAAAATCAGTGCATACAAAAATTAATATTTGATTTAATATTTTCAGTATTGCATATGACCTTTCCATAGAAGTCACCAAGGTGGTATACAGTAACACAAAATAAAAACAATAATACCATAAAAACATAAAAATCGGCAATAAATCATGCTAAAACTTTAACAATGCAATCCTATGCATCTCTACTCAGACATAAATCCTGTTGATTTCCATGGGACCTGCATCTGGTTAAGTGGATATAGAATTGCAGCTTATGACAATGTTAAAACTATTTAAAAGCTTTAACTATTTAAAAACAGTTAAAAACTGTTAACAGCTTCCAGTACATTATTGTATTTTTAAAATCCAAACAATGCAAAGAAAATGTGTGCTACTGAGTTGTCACATCCTTAAATATTTATAAGTATTCCAATTTCTGAATAAAGCTCTGAATCCTTTGCATATAAAATGCAAACCATATTGTGTGTTTTATTTTTCTGTTTTTCCTTATCAAATATTCCAATTCAGCTACTTTGAACTATTAAAACAAAATTTTAAATATTTATATAGCAAGGAAAATTAACATGGTATGTACATATATTTTTTCTTTACTAAATATAAGGCTGACATGCTAAATCAGTGTGATTTTTATTTCACTTATTTCAGCTCTACACCATCTAAGAAATAGCCAAATCTCTCCTTTTCCACTCATTTCTCCAAGACTTTGTGACCCCACTTTTTAATGAATTTATTAAATAATTAGCGGTGATACTAATATATTGCATAAATAACAAAATCTCCAAGTGGGTCACATACATTGCTAAAGATCAGATTTAAAATATATTAACAAAAACTCGCAACAAAAGCCTGTTGTATTCATGTGTATCAGACAATGTCTCTTTCTCTTACCATTCTTAGAAGCAATTGGAGATAAACTGATATCTTTGAATCCCTCTGAAGCAAAAAATCAGCATATAGTATGAAAAATAGGTTCCTACAAGATTTTTGTACCTAACCTATATGTACTAAAAGACCAACAATGAATTATGTCTTTCTTCTAGAGAATGAAGATTCTGTTGAAAGGTCAGAGCATACATCTCAGACAGCTACCATTTCAGAAGATACTGCCTTGCAGTACAGGTAGGAAACAAGGATGCGTGCTAAAGATTTAAGGGGAAGGAAGTGAAAGAGACTTTTTATCATACCTTTTGGTAATGGATGTGGTAATCAGGTTTGCCTCATCTAGATAACATGGAAAATTTAATTTTTGTCAAATGCTTTATTGTAGAGTTTTGCTGGATATCATACGAACAGTGTGTGTATGTGTTGGGGGAAGAGGAGACAGTTCATCTGAATTCAAAAGCAAATTTGATTATAAATGCAAACTTTGAATTTTGTATTAGGGACACTGAGTTTAAATCCACCCTTGCATGGAAATAATCTGTAAGTGACACCCCAGTCCTTTATAGATGATAATGTCTTATAGTGCAATTTATTTAAAAATGAGAATTAAATAGGTCAAATTTGTTCTCCTTTTTCTTCTGGGAGCACAGTGTTATATTTTAAAACAATTTGAGGTAATCCTGGTATATGAAATCTACAGCACAGAGGAGACAGAAATTATAGTTCTATCCAGGGATGCATGGTAGCAATCCAGTTGATGCCAAACAAGCTTTTCATGTAATCCCTGGGCTAGCATGAGCTCCTGCTAATTTTCTGCAACAGAGCTATATTTACTGACTAGTACAGGTTTAAGTAGTAAAATATTGTGATTCTTCTTATATAATATTTGTTTGTTTTTGGCTTTGGTTTCATTATTAATTGCCAGGTAGCTTCTGGGTACAGACCAATATATATTGCTTCTTAACTTCAGTGCAGATAATCTTTTTCCAGCTGGACCCTCAAGGATATAGTGGGTTATAAGCACCCCCCCCCAGCAAAAAAAGAAAATCGTTAAATGCCGTAGCCATTGGAGTTTAAATAGATGTTGTAGGAGCAAACCTTCCTCATAATTTTACTCAACTTACTTTCTAGGGAGGCTCATCAAGCTTGCTTGCTGTTTACTCTCACTGATAATCGTTTTCGAAAGACTTCTTTGTAACTTCCGTGTATGATTGCAGTGTTTCCATCTTTTTGTGCATAATTTAGTTAATACAGGGCAGACAATTTGTGGTACTCCTATCAGTTCTAGTCAACATAGCCAATGGTGAGGGATGATGGGAAATGTAGGCTGAGACATATGGAAGGCCACAAATTGCCAGCTTTGTTTTAATGTTTCAGGCTTAATAGTTGCTTGAATTATATGTAACTGAGGAGGTCTTGGCTGCTTGAGAAAAATGAAACTTTAGAGAGCACAGTGTTGACTAATATTAAAACAGTTCAGCAAAGTTCTTCTAAAAACTGGATACTCCATTCCACAAAAGAATAAGGTACACAATGAATTATGATGATAATTATTGCATTGCATTTGTATCCTGCCTTTCTTCCTCTTGTGAGGAACCCAACGCAGCTTACATGGCATGCCTCCTTTCTATTTTATCCTCACAACAACAACCCTATGAGGTAGGTTAGGATAAGCATCCATGACTATCCCAAAGACATCCAGTGAGCTGCATGATTGTGTGAGGACTAGAACTCAGATTTCCTGAGTTCCTGTCCATCACTCTTCACAGCTGTACCACCTGGCTCTTATGATGAAGTTCTCTTTAATAGATATCTGATTTAAAGCAGTCACAATATAAGAAGTGAGTGGAATATTAGAAGTAAGGATTCACTGGACCACTGATTAGTGCATATGCATACCAGAACTCAGAGGGTGCCTCTAGACGGAGGGTTACTAGTCAGGGTGGATAAAAATCAATGATTTTTTAAATGCTAACAAAGGATTTTTTTAAAAAATCAGATTTTAAATTTAGATTGGATTTTTCCATCTAAATTGGATGTTTTTAAAATAAAATGCTTTTTTGAGAGAAACTTTATCGAAAGAAAAATTTCCATTTAAGATACATTATAGTCCAAAGGTTATTCATCATGAGATATGGATTAGTTTTTCATTTTTAGCATTTCATGCAATGTTTAAATTTTTTGGTAAATGAATTCACAATGTCATGCTTTGCCAGAGTTTTCTGTAAGATTATTGGGAAATTTTTCTGCCTAGAAGATACTATCACAGATGCTTGGTTTTAGAGTTCTTAAAACTGTGAATTTACTTCTATAGAGATCAGATGCCTCTTTTTCACAGCAAAAATAAACATATGGAATGGGGAAAAAGACCTTAATCCCATTGTTCCTTTGCAAATCTATGTACACAGAATCAATGCATTACCTCTTAAGTGCTAAGTTTCAAAAAATTCAATAAATAGAAGAAGATTGTTGGGAGTGGACTAGATCTGCTCCTCCTTCCAAACACAAGAAACTAAGTGTTTGGAAGAAGGAGCAAGCAGTAAAAATTTAAGTGAAACCTTTTGAGCAGAATATTCCTCAAATCTTTGGATATTTTGTATAACCTGATGTTTATCATATTATTCTATCCCTGGAGGAGAAAGCTTATAATGGCAGCAGGTCATAAAAGAGACCCAGCTTGGAAATATTTTAATAAAGTTCCTCTATTTAAGGGTATGTGTGTAAAATGTGTGTAAAACCATGATTTAATCAAGTCTTACTGACTAGTGATTTAAATTGATTTGATTTAAATCAAATTCACCCTGCAAATTAAAAGATATTGTGCATCAGTTCTTTTCTTTTTAAAATGTTTTTTTTTTCTAAATCAAGCAATGAAGAGGAAGAAGTTGTATGAAAACATTAGTGGATTGCAACTTCTCGACTCTCCATAAAATCCTATGAAGCAGGATGATAGTGCTATAAAAAACTAGTCTAGGACCTGGGGGTAGTCTAGCTAGTTTCACTGATTAGTTTAAGGCCTTTGGGTTTTCTTTGCAAGAGGAATTACATGAAAAGGCTTTCTTTGTCATATAGAAATAACCTACACTGTGCAATTAAATATTTGCATGGTATTGGCTTGGCCTTGGGTTGCCTTGTGATCCATTGTCATCACTGCTGCCAAATACATAGCATTCAGCTATCCAGTGCCAAAGAAGTTGTTCCTGTTGTCCAGTAAATCCTGTTGCTTGATGGAAATTGTTTTTTTTCTTTCTTTCTCAAGAGCACAGACAATTATTATTCTTTAGGATTATTTTAGAGGGTTGAATCTCTGGCATTCCAGTTTTAAGGCTTTTTGTATAACAGGCCTGAGAAAAACATCTGCCTGCAGTCTTCAAAGAAATTGTCAGTTAATTGTCTAGATGCACTAACTCTGTAATCCAGCTTAATTTGTTCAGGTGAACTTTTGTTGATAGCTGGCAGCAACCATGAACTTACTGCTACAGCAAGTTCTTTAGCAAGTTTGTTGTTGCTAAGTCCAATGCTGTTTCCTGTAACATGTATTTAGATAAGGCATATGTACTCTCTTTTTAAAACTGTTCTTTGTGAAAACTGCATTTACAGACATGGAGGTGTTTGAACAAAGCTGTCAAATTATTTCGGGTCACTGTTTTTTGGATAAATTAGCCCATGGTAGCTTATTCTGCTTAAGTGCTGGATATGATTAACTAAAACAAATGTTTACAAGGTAGTCCAACTATGAAGAGATGGTCAGCTGGGCTCAGCTGTGCTGAGTTTCTGCTCCCTAAGGGATTCTACAACACAGTGGAATTATTAACTCTGGATTTGGCTTAGTTGCAACAGATTCACCTGGATGTTGCAAGAGAAAAATATGTAGTAGAGAAATCATATTTCCTCAATATCAGGAGCTGCTTTATAAACCTTTATTTTTAATTGGGATGATTTTTGTGCTTTTTTATTATTGCATTAATACTCTTAACACATTCTAAACTGATATTCTGTCTTTCTCTGAGAGACTGCAGAATGGATCACCTGTAAATGCAGATGCTACAAAGGATTCTGGAGTTGTTTGTGGTAATTTGGAAGAGCAAGATGTAGCAGGAAAGGAAGAAATACCAACTGATCAACTCCAGGACACAAAAGAGGTAGATGATTTGCTTCTTAAGCTGTGTCTACATGTCACAGTATTGCTGTAATAATTTGTTTCAAATACATTATTCAGTTTTGCTGCACTTGAACAACATGCTTTGTGACATATGCTTGGGATACTGTTTGTAGAACATGTATGATTCCTTTTAGGATAATTTAATAATTATCTATGGTTGTTGAATGTGTTGGCTTTCTTAATTTCATTAAATGTGTACACCTCAAGATTCAAGCTCTTTCTGGATGCTTTTAACATGGCTGGCATATGCAAAAGCAATAAAAATTAATGTTAATATAACTATTGTGCCTAACATATTTTGCTTTGTATTATATAAAGCAGTACCTTGCCTATATATACTGTAAAATAAGAGAATGCTGCTGAAGACCTTTTTATCAGTTGTCGAGTCTGCACCTGCATATTGAATGCAATATTTACAGTAACTTGGTTTGCTTTTGATTCTCCATAAATGTGAAAACAATGTTGAAAATAAATTTTCTTTCAAAAATGTTCTTCTGTGCTTTTTAAAGGGGATTTAAGGCAGTTATATTAGGGTTAAAGTGATCAAAGGAATTTTGAAAGAAAAGTTGGATGCTGCTATGGAATGATACTCAGAAAATATATATCTTCTGTGTAGGAGGCCATAGAGCAGATGACAAAGTATCCTACCCCACAAGGACCTGGTGATATAGTCATGATACAGTCTGAATACACAGGTGCAGTGGATATCCTTTCAGCAGAGCTGGAAACTACAGATCTACTGGGCGAGCAGAAGAAAGGTGAGGACTAAGATAGCATTGCTGTCTCTAGGTATGGATCAGTATTCAGAGATCTGGACATATTTGTAACAATGGTGTTCTTTGTTCATATGATATGGCAAGTCTTATAGACAACACACAGGAGAATAGAATAGAATAGGAAAGTGGGAGCTATGATTCTTGTACTCAATCTATTTAAAATGTAACCAGTGATCTGTGAATCTTAGTGTACAGTACTTCCTATAATCTGTTAGGTCATTTATTTTTTCTCTCGTCTCAAATTCCTGCCCTTTGGGACTTTGGGACTTTTTCCTCCTTTTCCTATTCTCCTATTGCACTTTTTAAGCAGCATAAAATGATATATGAATGTAGCACTATGATAGAGGTGGAAATCCACAAGGAAGCAATAAAATTGAGACAAGACACAAACAGAAGCCATCATATTAGCTTCTTTCTTTTTAATCCTGGGGACCAGGTTTTCCAAAACTGTCTCCAGGGATTTTTTTTCACAACATATGATAATTTAAATTTCAGCATGGCAAATCAACTCAGTCCACATTATGATGACCATTTAATGCATAGTCATCAATTCATTTTCAGAAGATTTGTTGTGACAATTTAAATATGTAGTAAGCTGTAGTCTGGGTATGATAAGCAATTACACAACAGTTTAACTGTGGGATAGACTGCAATGTATCTCATAAACTGTATCAAAGGAGTAATGTCAATCAGTCCAAAGTGGAGTTGCAATGGGTGCAGAAAGGAGGAAAAATAGCCATGCCTAATTTTAAGAACTCTGCTGTATGAGGAGAGAAAGAAACCATTATTCCTCCTTCTGAAAGGCAGTATACTTATGATTAAAAAGCCCCATCATGTTAAGGAATAACCTCTACTCCTGCTGATAATAACCTTGTTCCTTTCAGCTCGGCCACCTTCTCTGATTCCAGCAACTACTTGGACAAGCTCTAAGATAAGGGAGTTCAAGGCAAAGATGGCAAAAGAGAAGAATACCCGAATGGTAGTGAAAAGGGGTGAGGTGTTAACAGTTCGGGTGCCAACCCATCCTGATGGAAAGCGTGTCTGCTGGGAGTTTGCCACAGAAGATTATGACATTGGTTTTGGGGTCTATTTTGATTGGACTCCCATTACTAGCACTGCCATTACTGTACAGGTCAGTGAATCAAGTGATGAAGAAGATGAAGAGGAAGAGTTTGAAGGTCAGTGTACTACTAGAGAAGGAGCACAGTAGTTGCTTTGGTATTAGTGTGTTAGATGTCTGGTACTCTGGTATCTCAGCATAGTTCCTATTAATTAAGTTTCTACAGTTGTAAAGTCCCAGATGAATCACTGAGATCACTTAGTTCTTTCATTTTGTCTTGCTTTTACTTTGCCCAGCACATGCTTGAGCAAGTTCTATTTATTTAAACATGTGTATCTTGTCATATTTATTATAGCCGAGAAGGTTTACAAAGTTAAAATGTTCGTGTTATTTTGTTCAGAATTAAACAAAACCTGCTAGATCGGTAACAATGTCACTTGATGTCTTTCTAGGGCATTTTTCTAAAGCAGGGGTCCTCAAACTTTTTCAACAGGGGGCCAGTTGAAAGGCAGCAGGTGGTTGCGGGCGTACTCAGGTGGGGGGAGATGGGCGTGATCACGGACGTGCTTGCAGGGGGAGATGGGCGCGATCGCGGGTGTGCTTGCGGCCGCGTGCACAGCAAGGCAGCAGCGAGGCGGCAGCTTGCTCACTCGGAGATCGTTTTCTCCGAGTGAGTCCAAAACCTCTGAGGCAGGCCGGATAAATGGGTGGATCTGGCCCATGGGCCATAGTTTGAGGATCCATGTTCTAAACCCTTGAGGAAAAAGCAAGTTTTAAATCATTTCCTTTTGATTCCTACATAGTCTCCTAAGCACTCACAATTGCTTTAGTCTTAGTGACAGACCTGTGTCATGTATCTTCTGACCATTCTTTGGATCATTGACAGGAAAATTTAAAAACAGTTCTGGTGTTACAATTTCAACAATTTAGTTAACAACCCTGGACAGTCTTGCTGGAACAAACAGGCTTTGCATTTCCTCCTACAAACCAGTAAGGATTTTTGTTCACCTAAGAATTCCATAGACTTGGGATCACTGCAGAAATGGCCTCACTCAGTTCTTGTTCCTTTGCTTGAACTAGTTCTAATACTGCAATAGCTATGAGTATGCTGTTTTAACTCCCAGGTTATGCATGCTGTTCTTATGTCATTTGTTTTGGAAATGATATATAACTAGGCTGTATGTCAATGAGGGCAACCTTTTCAGCCAGTGTTTCTAATCCAGTCTGCAAAGGGTTATGCAATCATAGAAATTTGAATAAAATGTATAATAAAATCATTATAGATGCAATATACTAAATGCATCATTTATAAATAAGATAGCAATAAGGGTGATTTTTTTTCTTTTAGTGACACTAATTGTCATCCTGTAAGGATTGGGATGTTGGGTATCAAATAGATACTTTATTGACATGTGGTGCTTCAAATACATTGTCACCAGCAAATACTTTGACAGTTACTGTCCAGTGCATGATTTTCTTCTTGTCAGCTTCTTTAGTCAGTCTTGCCTTGACTGACATTTTATGTGCTCCTTCTGTTGTTTATTTAGCTGATAGATATTTTGCACATTTTTCCTTTCAGGACCTATTCCTGTTGGTGATGTGGAAAGGGGCTCCAAAAGCTATTTGCGAAACCGCTATGGAGAGATCATGCCCGTCTACCGAAGGGACAGCCACCAGGAAGTGCAAGTAGGCAGCCACGATTATCCAGGCGAAGGCATCTATTTGCTCAAATTTGACAATTCATACTCCCTTCTCCGCAACAAGATACTCTACTTCCATGTCTATTATACCAGCTAAAGAAGTAAATGAATTCTGGAATGGGTAGGACATAAAGCACTGAAGAAAGCTGCCTGTCAGGACTAGTATAATAGGTAGCAACTGATGGCTGTTGTACCCATCTCACTGCTTATGTGCAGATGACCTCTTTCTCCTCTGTCCTGCTGTTAAGGTGGTGCAAGTGATCACTGACTGCTCTGCTTTGTTTTATGCCAAGCAGGGATTTTAGCTGCAGCAAGCAAGTCACTGGACACAAGGTTCAAGTATGTTTTCCTTTCTCTTGCACTTCTACAAATTAAAGTTGAAATATGCCTTTCCTTTTGTGTAAATATATTATAACCTTCTACCCTGCTGGCTGCAGATAATCACTAGGATCAACTGCCAAAGCAGCCTGTAGAACTTTGTCTAGAACTGCATTGTTACTGTGATGTGGTGCACTGCCATTAGCTTAGTCTCTGTGAATCCTGTGAAATGGAATGTACATATGCCATCCAGTTCACTGACTGCATGTCTCTTCTGGCTCCAGCAACTGTAGCATGCTCAGTGCAAGGCACAGTTGTTCAGTTGCTGATAATACATATTTGGATGTTACATCTTGGCTGAAAAAAAAACCAAGCTGCATGCATTCTGTCTCAGTAAGGAAGTGACGCCACTGTGGAGGCAGGAAGCATGAACCAAATCATTCTGGTTATGGAGAATGCTTAACAAAGCCATTGCCAGCAAAGACCACCTCCTACACCGCTCTTTTCTGTCATGTTATTTTGTAACTTTGCATGAATTCACTGTAACTGAAGAAAGGAATACTGAACTCAAATTGGCTGGAGTGCTCAATTCCTCATCAAGTGAATGCCCAGAGACTATATTTTTTTTAACAAAAAGTCACTTTCAGCAGAAATAAATTATTATAAATGTTACCCCAGCAAGACACTGAAATATCAGTTCTCTGCAGCACTTTTCTTATATGTTTGGTCTGACTATGGTAATATACTTGTTATGCTTGTTTGCTGTGTTATGCATAGCACCTCCAGGGGCAAGCATTTCCAGCCACAAGTAGATTGTTTATATACCGACATAGGAGCCCAGCTTCCAGAGCTACCTACACCTACATGCAAGATAGTACAGAAATGCATCACTGAGGTGTGCAGTAGCAGTCATTAACAAGTCAGCCCCTTTGCTGTATCATAGGCATTAATCATCCAAGCCCTGATGATTATTCAGTACTACATGTGAAGTATGGTATGGTGTGATGCCCACAAAGGGCCTGATAAGATCCCAGGGCTTTACTTTTGGCATCTCTAGTTTAAGATCTCAGGTCTTTAAACAGTAAGAGTTTATTTTCATGTATACCTATATTATTATTTGGATTTCAGAGGTCATTGCCAATTTTGAATACAGTGTAAGCAGTACAGCTTAGAGGCTGATAGTTGTATCATCTGTCATTCACAGCTCAGGTAAACATGTACAACCCATTTCTCTGCAACAGAGGTCTTATAAATGTAGGTATTGATTTTTCAGATCCAAATGTGAGTGTGTCTTTTAAAACAGCTGCTATGATATTCATTTAATGTGTTTGCTTGGCTCTTTGCATGATTGCAGTAAATGTTAATGATATGTAGTAGATTTTTTTGGAAACCTTCCCAGTGGGATGCCCTTTTCATGCAGGTTTAAGTGATGAAAGGTATAAAGCCAAAGAACCCAACTTCTAACAGGCAGAATGATTCTCTAACTATGCCATATTGAGTGTGTGCTTGGACAAACAAGGTAAATTATGTTGCTAGAAAAGCAAATAAAGTAGAGCCACACTAATCTTTCCCATTGTTCTTTTAACAAAGAAAAGGCTCAGGGAGTAAAAACCTATGTCTTTAAAAATGGGATAGAGAACTGGCAAATAAATGCTTCTGTTAACTTAAGAGTGAGTCAGGTGTACCTACCTCCCGGTCATTTTATTTTTATTCAAGGTGAGATTGAAGGAATGCAGAAACATTTAACCCATTCCAGACCAATAGCATGAAAAGCACAGGGCTTACCAGAAGCAACAGTTGTTGGCTGGGGACAGGGAATAGCAGCCATTCCAACAGGAACATAAATGGCTCTGTAATGGTAGTTTCTCCATGAATGATCTGGACAGTAGCTGCTTCTTGAAGGTGGAGTTGATAAGCCAAAAAAGAGGGCTGTGTATGTCCTGGTTGCATAGCCTTTGCTCAGCCTTTCAAAGGCTCTCCTGCCCTGAATGTTATTTATAGGATTGTTATTTATTTTTATTTGTGAATTTCCTCTTTAAAGCTTAATCATTTAAAGTGTAATCTTACACTGTACGGAATGCACAGAGCCCACTCTATATGTGCCCTTTTCAAAAGAAAGGCATTGCTTTATTTGAGGCTCATTAAGATGGCTATTTGCCTTATGTAAGGTTCTGCTTGAAGAAGAACCAAGGAAAAAGATGTTGGATATATCATGCATGGAAGTTTGAAGTTAGTTTGTTCTTAATTACATAGTTACATGTGAGACAGGTTCTTTTGTGTCTCTTGCATTTGTTCTTTAGCCCACAAAGTCTACTAGAGGTATGTTGAATTATTTCTGAAATCATACTACAAGAGCTGTCTACAGATTTAGAAAGTTGGTCCTCCTTCCTGTCTAGAAATATTTCATTTTGGAAGGACAAAAGTAGAGAAAGTTAAAATTTGCAATAGCTTTCAAATAAGTATATTTTCCTCTCCACAATTTGTTTAATAACAAATTGGTTTCAACTCTGTTCTTGTTAATTTTTAAACTGACTCTTCTATAAACACTTCACAAAGTTAATATAAATTTCTGAAATAACATTTGAAGATGAATATCAAGGCATAATAAGAGGTTGTAAACCTTTCAGAGACCCCCTGGCTAAGCAAGTGGTATATAAAAGATTAAATAAATAAGACGATGGGTTGTGCTCAATTTGGATCTTTTGGTAGAGCATAGCTCATGAGCTGCATCTACTACTCAATTAGATTGCAGAACAGTGTGTGTTTTTTTGTATGTGCATGTATGCATAATATGTGTGTGAGAGAGGTTTTTTGATCTATTGAAATACTGGGCAGGGTTTATTCATATTCCTCAGCCTCAGAGATAGTACCAGATCATAATGTGTTAGTAGTCTGTCTCTTTTCACACCGTGAAGAAGTGAAAGCACTAAAAATCTGTGTGTGCTCCTTGGATCAGATCGAAAACCCATGCAGACTTATCATTTTAACACTAATGAATTATGTGGGCAACATCTAGAACATACACACATACTTGCCTAGACTCAAGTTACTTTTCCAACTTATGCATTTTTCTAGAATTGAGTAGAAATACAATTTCAGAGATAACAGGAGAGATTAAACTATAATTTCAGATAGAAGGTTGAAAGATGGCATTTTTTTTCTAAATTAAATAATTATAAAAGGACCTCATAACTGATATATTTTGGCATCTGTCTTGCTCAATATATATGCTGTATGTGAAGCAACTGGTTACCTCAGTCATTTACATAAGGCAGTGTACAGAATTAACATGTCTGAATTGGAGTGGAAAATATGTAGCAGTTAAAGGTGGGGACCTCTGCCATGCCCAAGACCTAGTTTGTGATCTCAGGGACGGAGATTTGTCACATTCTCAAAAAAGGGGGTTTTTTTTAGTGTGTTTTACCACTTCACATCCAATATCCCCCTTATTTTGGCTCTGTCTCTTACAAAATGGCATACAATAATTAGGAAGATATACAATCCATATATTATTTTAATCAAGCACAGTTTGGTATTTTTGTACTCTTTGTCCTTTGTACTACAAAGAAGCATGCAAGACAGTTGATTATTTGGGGCTAATAATTTTTATTGATCCTATGGTACTAGTTGAGGGAAATTAGAGCTTCCTTGTTTATCTTCTTATCCACAATGCAATTGCTAGGAAACTGACTCACTAAGAGATGTGTGATATAAATCTAAAGCTACAATCCTGTACAAATTTATATTAGACTAATTCCCATTGAACGTAATAGGACATTCTCCTGAGAAGTGTGTACAGAATTGTATTGTAAGCCTCCTAGTATCCCAGGAACTTGAACCCTCAAAGCATATGCTTGTTTCCTTTACAGCAGGCCCTGTGCTATAGTATGAGGAGAGCCTTGCTACCAAAGTAGTTGAGGGTAGCTCACAGGGAAAAAAATTACTTCTTCCTGTATATAGTATTTGGACAAGGAGACAGGGTCAATCTATAGTGCTTCACCACTATCCATCAAAAACATGGCTGTCTTTTGGAAACTGGTGGAACTGCAGTTCTATCTCATCTTAAAGCATGTTGTGACCTTAAGACCACTTTTATTATTGGCTTCCTTGTTTCTGCTTGTGGAAAGTACTGTCAGACAAAACATAGTTTTTTAAAATACAGAAATACTGAACCCCTTTAAAAATAAAGCATTACAACCCTTGGTTTTGATCAAAGGAATAGACAGATAATAAAGTGGATGGTATTAGTGGAGACTCATACAACCTTTCTTTTGCTAGCTTATTGTATTATCGGATCTGTTGTTGTGATTTCAGAGAACGTTCCATTGATCTCTGTGGTACTTGTTTCTGAGAAGGGCCATACAAGGGTGCAAAAACAGTGCATTAGAACAGTGGTACAAAACATACTGGCTAGGATTTGAACGGTCTGTGCTAGGCCAGTGAAAATTATTGGACAATATAGTGAGTGCCATATCAAAAGGTTATATGAAGTTGCCTTATTTGGACTTGAACCATGGGTACAGCTAACCCAGTACACTTTCTTCTGAATGGCAGTAGCTCTCTTCCTGATATCCTTTAACTGGTGATAGCAGCGACTAGTGTTCATTAACACTGAACTTCCAACTATCTAAGAATCCACTAAAATTTCAGTAGTGGTTTACCATGAAGAATAAGGGACTGCAGTTCAAGAAAACACAAGCCTAATGCCTAATATACATTTTACCAGTATGCTTTGGAATTTGGCTGATATGCCACCTGTGGAATATCTTCCTATGATACCACTAGAATACATCCACAGAAATTTAGAATTGTGGCAAAATGAAAAGAGGCATCTGAGCTTCCCAGATCTCAGCATAAGTCAGAGGCTTGTAGAAGCCCTACAAAAGGAACATGACAGTGCAAGTTACATGATAATGAATGATGTATTGGATCAATTCACATTAAAAATGCTGAAAGGGAGCTTTTGAATTACATGGAACTCTCCTCGCAGTGTACAGTGGTTTTTTTGCATCAGTGGGAGGATTTAATTGGATTCAATTCCATTAATATGGCTGTTAACCAGGACATGTTTGTAATAAAATATTTTAAAACAACATTCATTGGAAAACATAGGTTTTCCTTGAATATTTATGTCTGAATAAAACTTCTTTATAATCCACTAGTTTGCTTCCAGCATTTTAAACATGTTTTGGCATTATCAGCTATGAACTGCCTTGCTTGCTCTCTAGATTGCACAGTACAGCTGGCCAGTGAGTCATGGCGTGTGCTGGGCACCCTCTTGAATGTGTAGCCCTGAACAAGGTTACTACTCTGTGCAACCCTGACCACCAAGTATTGAGGATTGAACAACTCTTGCATAAACTTGCACAGATCAAGGATTATGCACTGGGTGTTTAACTCTCAAATCTTTGGTGGCTGGGTTCACATAGCATGGCAAAACCCATCTGGGTTATATATTCAGAACAGTCTGGTGCATGCCATGGCTCATTGGGAGTTAAACATACATACACTTTGAGTCCAGCATGTCATGCCAAATGGGTCACTGTTAAAGGGAAGATATAGGATGGCAAGCTAAACCCAGACATAGGGTTGCTAGGTTTTATTGAACATAGTGGACCTTAATTTTGACTACTCATACATAAGACTGAGTTAAAAGGATTTTAGCAGTAGCAAATTGATGACAACAAAATGAATAGATTTGTTACCTGCAGTGATCAGCTTTTAGTTGCAACATACCATCCAGTCAGAATGCTAGCTTGGTGCTGTTGTTTTGTAGCTTGCAGAGTTTTTGTCTGCTATGATCTATGTAATATGATTTCTTAATCAGTACTTTTGTGCACAAATATGCTGCTAATATCCTTCCAAGCATTTCTCCCTTAAACTGAGGGTACTTTTATTTGCTCTGTTACTGAATCATACATTCTAGTACGGGCTAGCATGTCTACTGTTCCATTCAAGACTTGGTTAATGTCTGTTACATAGTGTGAAGTAGTTGTTTTGTGACCATGTGTTTAACTTTTAACAGATAATTTCATTAAATTTTTTCATCATACGGCTGAGACCCCTTTGTCTTTACTTCGCTGCTGTAAAAAGAGCACCCTGTGGGTAACGTTCTCCATGCCAAACCTTTTGAGCTTTATTCAGATATAAATAGGATAATAATTTATGCTCTTTTCTACAGGGAAAGGTGACAAAAGTACAATCCTTTTTGTCTCTAGTTAAACGAGTTGTAGATGAAAGGGATACCTGCTTGAAATGTTGGAGAGCTACTGCCCAGTTGGATTAGATTGAACTGTTCTATAATGGACCAGTGTTTTAATACAAGCCACAGGCTGCAAGCAGTGCCTTAGCACTTAGAAGCCAGAAGTGGGCTGACTTGGATTTCTTGTATATATATATGACAGGAGGTGAGGATGCAAAGCTTCAGTGCCCTTTACCCTTCTTTCTGACTAGCAGAAGCAGAATATAATTATGCAAGGCAAAGAAATATTTGCAAATATTTTGCTTTGCTTAATCTATACCTTACATTGCAGAATTTTGGAGGCTTCTTAAGAATATGATGTAAGCTGTTTTGACATCCATCTCAGTTATAGATAGGATAGAAATGTTTTAAATAAATAAAATATATGCACCAGTATTACTGGGTGTGAGGGGAGAAGTCAGGTAAAATTCTAGCATATAGCTTGAAACAAGAGTGAACTAGACAGTACATACCATTAATTAAGGACAATGCAAGCAACACATTCACCAACCCACAGCAAATTAATGCTCATTTTTCACAAATTCTTTTCTGGACTCTACAAATCTTACAGTACCCTTGATGGAGACGCAATTAAGGCCTTCATTGATTATCCCTCACAGCACAGAGGATTCCTAGCAAAAGGATATGCAGCACAGGGAACTCCTAGCAAAATACCTACAAAAGGAAGAAATTGGGAAAGTTATTAAAACATGAAAGCAAGAAAGGCTTCTGATCCTGATGGTTTCCCCACTGAGTGGTATAAAACTCACTTATAAGTTCTTACACCCAGACTCTCAGAACTCTACCAAGGTTATCTTTGAATCAGGCACTACTGCCCATTAGGTAAAAGGCTAATATTTCAGTCACCCCGAAACCCTGAAAAAATCAGTTTCTGTGTGAATTATAAACCAATCTTCCTTATCAGTGTAGATGCCAAAATATTTGTTGCTGTGCTAGACAATAGAGATCAAGAAATAATAGCAAAAAATAACTCATCCCTCCCAAGTAGGGTTTATGCACATCAGGTGGAAAGCAGGAAAGTAAGGCTGCTGGTAGGTTTAAACACACACAATTCCACCAACAGCACCCCTCCCCCCCGCTGCCATCTTGTTGCTAGATGCTGAAAAAGCCTTTGATAAAATATATTGGCTGTTTATCACTGCCACACTTCCACAATTTGGCTTTCCTCAAGAATTTCTGGTATGGGTGAAGATCCTATATGCAAATCCAAGGCCACAAATGCAGACCAATGAAACCCTTTCCCTGCCTTTCCCAATGGCACTCACCAGGGGTGCCACTCTCTCCTCTTATATTCAACATCTGTTTGGAACCACTGGCATCCACGATCTGACAAAATTGAAAAATACAAGGTCTCACCCATTGCAGCACAGAATATAAGGCCGTCCTTTATGCTTTATGTTTATTGATGACCCCAAAAACTATATGAGAGCTCATCAGCTTGACAGACACATTTGGAGCAATGTCAGGATAACAAGGCAGAACTTACACTCCTGGTGGCAGACCCCCTCTCTGACCTGTTTTCCAGATGGCAGTTTAAAAAATGCTCCAATGCCATAGCCTATCTGGGAATAAAAGTTCCCAAAGACATTTCCCAACTGATCAATCTAACACCCCCGCTAGCACAAATTGCTCTGGGTCTTGATAAATGGGCCCCACTTTATTTATTTATTTAGGTGACTTCTATGCCGCCCCATTCGTCGAAGCCTCAGGTGGCTGATTTGGGTAAAATCAACACTAAAAATGAATGTTCTGCCTCAAATAGGATGTGCTTCTCTGAGACATACTGTGGTGTATATTCAAATCATATTTTCAAAGATTCAGTGCACTATTCAGAAAATTTATTAGGAGAGACTTTCCGCCACACCTATCTCTTAAAAAATTACAACAGCCCATGGACAAAGGTTGTTTTAGCTTCCCTGATCTGAACATGTATCACTTCTCTCATCTGCCATGTCACCCCTTTGCCACAACTCCTCTGGATAAAACTAAAATCTGTGTATCTGATACCAATACCCAATGGATGCCACTGGGCTCCACATAGTTAAACAGAGAGTCCTACTCCACATTCCATTCAGGTGGCCAGAAAGACATGGCAGATGTTGGCCTGTCAAGTGCACTTTGACACTCTATCACAACAAACTAACAATCTGGTATAATACAAATCTGAAAACTACCAAACAAATGTTCCTCTGGAGGCACTGGGCTGAACAGGCAAGGCTGTAAATTCCTCTCCCTTTTGGACTTACTGAGAACATGTCAACTGAGGTAATTCTATGGCTCATAAGAATGTGGAAGGGTACAGAATAATAGTGATCACGCATTTCAGTGAAGCAAAATCTGTTCTTCACTGTTTCATTTGTATTCAGTGTTCTCACTAACAGAAGGTTGGGTGGGGTTAGATGTGGGACAGAACCTATAGCCTTCAGTGTATACCTATGTGCTGCTAAATGAATTACTGAATAATTAAATCCTGACTTTACGCTGCTCTCCCTTTTCATTTGGATTATGAAGTTGAGTATTCATAAATGGTGTACAAAAAGTAAAACAAAATAATTCAGTAAAATTACAAATCATTCAAACAGCCAACAATAAGAATCCAGGTAAATTGCATTGACATAAATCAATACAATACAATGTGGATTACAAATCTAAGATAACCACCAGCACAGGCTAAAACACACCATGGGATTAAAATTACAGGTGTTAAAAGACAAGAGGGAACAAGAAGACAACATAAGAGTCAGCCAGGCTTCCCTGATAACATTTCAAAACCAGGTTAGGTACCACCTAAAAGCTCTCTCTTTCATGGCTGCCTGCGGGACTTCAGATTGAAAGGGTGCACAGAAGGCTTCTGCTGATTATCTTAACGTATTGGTAGGCATGTGTGGGTATGTATATATGAAATATTAATTACCCTTACTGTAAAATATATTGCATCTAGCCTGCCTGAATTTCTTCTCAACCTTGACTTGAAGTGCATGTTTTCTTATGCCACTCATATGCCCAGCTGAATAAACCTGCAGCATTTGGTAGCCTGGAGTTGTATCAGACTGACTCAGATGTTCTCTTCTGAAATTATGCTCCGCTTAAGTATTCTTCACACCTTTCCAAAAGGGCTGGTGACTAAGCAAGCCTCACCTCCCAAGTGGCCAGTTACCATGGTCCATGGAATCACAATAATGAGCCTATCACAATGAAATTTATAAACCAATACTAAGAAAGTGTGATATACTGCTGTGCCGACATCATTGGAAAGTAACATACTGTTTCTCTTTACTCGTATTGGTGTTTAGCTGTATAACATGGGACATATTCCTGGTTCCAACACAGCTTTATTCCTTTTAGCCCAGGAGTATTCCTGTGATAATTGAGGGCATGGAGGGCGAAAGCTTTGCAAGTGCTTTTCTTTTAGGATTCTTCTTCCCACCTTCAAAGTTCCAGGGCAGGTTGCTGGAAAATAACATCCACATGAAGAGTGCAAATGACACAGCCTTGGATGTGTGAAGGTCTGCAAATGGGTGCGTGACTCTGCCCTATAAAATATAGTAACATTTGACAATTTTCTAGTGACTGCCTCTGGTTTCAGACAGAGCTAATGTTCTGTTATTTTCTTCTCTTTTTAAACTGCCCAGATAGTTCTTTGTGCTATGGGGTGGTGTGTAAGTGCAAATAAATTATCTTGTATCCTATTCCCTTTGCATGAACATGATAGAATTGGGCCAAATGAATAGCTATTAAAGAACTACATATAAGCACACAAGGCTACATGTATCCAATGAATAAATACAATATAAATGCAATGAAATGTGCACCATAAGGGAACGGTGACCGTACCTTCAAAGTCATTTTTGAGGACAGAATTTATTTCAGTTTTCTTATAATTTTAGTTTTAAAGTGCATAGCAGTGGCCCATTAGAAATCAAAGATGCATTCCTATGAACATATATATGGGTACAAACTTCAGTGAACATAATGGGATAGAAAACATGCCTAGATCCTTTGTGAAGAGAGGCAGCTTGCAGTGCTACTCATTTATTCAAATCTAGACCTTGAATGAAGGGAGCTGAACCAAGAGTCTTTGAAACAACTACTAGTAGTTGATCTTTGTAGTCACCACTGAGTAAGTTCTATCTGTTTGCCCCTACATCATCTCCATTTGACCAAAGTGTGGAGCATGGGGTAGTGAACTGGCAGGCAAGGTATATATCTTTGTGCTGTCAAAAATAAACAGACAACCTGCCTCAAATTTAATAAGCATTGTTAAGATTAAGAAAAGTTAAACAACATAAAAATAAATATATAACTCCCCCCTCCCCTAAATAGCTTACACTTGACAATCTTAAAGGCATGTTTGAAAATTTACTTGCCAAGTGAAGAATAACAATAGAGGAAAGGTGGTGGATATTCCACTGGGAGGGAAGCCTCATTTTATTCCTGTGTAAACTCATGGAGGGGAGAGAGTTGACAAAAGAATTCAGTGCATCACAGTACCTAGATAAAGGGTGGGGGGAAGGCTTATCATCATTTTCAAAACCCCATATAGGTAAAAACAAGAAGTGTGATATGGAAAGGATCTCTTTACTCCAGGTAGACAAAACCTAGTAAATTCAGCTTGAGAGGTGACAGAACAGATGCTCTGAAATGGAGAATCTAAGTCACAGGGCTGGAAATGAGATGTTTAAAGATGCTTTTTTTCAAGCCTGACTTAACTAATGGGTCCTCTATCTGAACAAATATGAAAGATGTAAACACATTCCCCTTGGATATTCCAACAGTGATGCAAGGAGGCA